GAATTATAAGACTGGTCCATTCCTGAAGTCGATAAGGATATGCTCCATCCTCCAACAATATTTCAGAATTGATAGACTTTGCACTGACACGTGAGCAAGGACCATCAGGCCTGCCCTTTTGAATGCACTTTCAAGGTGCTATCTGCAACTGCTGCAATAGCTTGCTTGCTCCAAATGCCATGTCAGGCCAGGCGTAGTGTGTAGGTTTGCAGGCATGTGAGACGCAAGCCGACCTACTAGCCCTGTGTAAGGTTGCATTGAGCAGCATGTGCAAGCTTGAAGAGGCAGCATGCTGCCCTGGTGGTGTGTGTGTGTGTGTCTTGTCCGGAATTTCAAGCAGGCAATACGAAGTGGCTGAAACTGAGACTTGATGCAGTCTATCATCAAGCACCTCTAGTTTAAAAAGACAACTGTGCTGGTACATCATGTAATGTCCCCACCCCCAGGGTCAAAATGGTCAAACATCAGTTTCAGCTGCAAGTAAGATCTTGGACAGCTGCCATGGTTGGCAATGTCATGGAGCTATGCTTGACTTGCAATGATAGCAGCTACACTATCTGCACTGGTATGCTTGAGATTCAGAACTATGACAAAATCACAGTTCTTAGAACCACCAAACAAGCATGCCCAAACTAGTTCCTCTCAGCGCATGTGTTGATGCCAACTTACTCATGTAATGCAGCCCTAATTGTTAGCATGTCAACTGGTGCGACTTGTCAGCTTGCCCTGAACTTTCCGCCAGGCCTGAGATGAAGCCGCTCCAGCCCGGAACCCATGACCTGGCGCGGGAGAAGTGGGATTTGTTGCTTTTATATTTTTGGTAATGCCTAAGACACTGGTAAGAAAAGTGTCAGCTGTTGAAAATATTGCATTTGTTGTGGAAGCAATGCTACGAAATGCTACAGGTTGGCAAGGCTGCCGTGTGTCAAAGATGGTTCAACATCCAACCAGTGCTCCATCACTCCTCCAGATATCATGGAAACACTTTTGACTGGCAGAATGCACATTCAACTGGACAAATAACTTGGGTGCCACTTAAATTCAACTTGGTGAGGCCTGGCTGGACAAATCCGTGTAAATAAAGGGAATGAAGGGGTGCAATTGTTGCAAGGTCATTGCTTGGAGTCTCGGGGTATCCCTTCAGCCAATGGTGAAGTTCATTGGTCGGTTTGCATTTTGAATGCAATGCCCATGCTCGCTCTCTCTCTCTCTCTCTCTTTCTCTCCCACTCCCTATCTCTTTCTCTCTCCAGTGCAAAAGGCTCCATGCATGGTGAAACGAATGGGCCTGCTCCCAGCTTCGGCCTCTTCTGTCTCCTTCTTGGCCTTCTGCACTTCAGCTGGCCTTCTTGTCCTCTGCAGGCTCAGCTTCTGCAGGTTCACCTTGAGCAGGCTCTGCAGCAGGCTCGCCTTGAGGAGGCTCAGCTTCAGCTGCTTCAGCAGGCTCACCTTGACCAGGCTCAGCTTCTTCAGCCCCGCCGGTCAGGACAACTGCATCATCAGGCCCAAATCGGACCATCACCTCGTCTGGCCGCACGGGTGCCGCCTCCGGGTCTGGGTCGAAGCGCGAGTTGTACCCGATCTCCATGAAGCCGTCCATGCCCCTCGGCGCACAGCCCATCAAGATGGTACCTCCCATGGTGTCCACCATCTGCTGCGCAGCTGACTCATGCACCGAGAACGTTCGGAGTCGCTTCGCAGGCCGCTTCATGGCACCAAAGATCAACTGCCCAATCTGCTATTTGCCTAAGCTGCTATTTGCCTAAGCTGTCATGTGGCTAGGCTGCTATTTGCTCATGCTGTCAAGTGCCAAATGCTGTTATTTGCCTAAGTGCCAAAGCTGTTAATTGCCAAAGCTGTCAAGTGCCATTTCAAAGCTGTTAATTGCCAAAGCTGTGAAGCGCCGAGTGCCAAAGCTGTTAATTGCCAAAGCTGTCCAGTGCAAAATTATGTTACTTGCTTCAGCTGTCAATGCCAAAGCTGTCAATTGCCAAAGCTGTTTTGTGCAAAATGCTGTCAATGCATGCGTGTGTCCATGTCCACTGCATTGAGCCTCTGAATTGAATATTGACAGCCAACTCAGGGCTTGGGTGCAAGCTAGGTCCCCACATCCAGCAGGTGTTTGGCAGGTGCACTATCCCTTTCCTACCATCCATACAAATATTAAAAGCAAATTGGCATGAGCTTGATGAGTTAGTTGTTTGGCCAAAATGGTGAGGAGTGTTCATGAGGTGCCTGCAAAATGCATGTGACACAATGTGAGGACATGCTAGGTACATGCACATCATCCTTCATAGTATTGCTGTGCCTTTCGTTCCTGGTGGTACCCATGCAGGGGACATGTTCATAGCTTCTAGACCTGCTCAGCGATTGTGATTTCAAGTCGAAGGCCCAAACAACTTGAAGGCCCAAACAACTTGAAGGCCCAAACAACGTGAAGGACATGAAGGGCCAAATCAAATGCACTTGGCTGTTGGATGTCATGGAAATTATTTGCGATACATTCTGGGGCCAACTGCAAAATGAGAGACTAGGCAAGACCTTGATTTCCAATCTTGACCAAAATCCAGCCCCAGGTCCTTCCACCCTTCTCTCCCACCCTATGACCCAGCCTGATGTGTGGATGTGTGGCTTTTTCTGAGGTGAGCTTGCTACAGTACAGTGAGCCGGAGTGGAAAAAGGGCGGCGAGCTAGTTTTCAACGACACTACAAATTCAGCACGGTACATCTGAAGGGTTATCTGCAGGTCCCAATTGTTTCCTCGTTGGTTGGAGCATGTTTCTTATTGCATGAGTGCATAACCCAGAAAGCTTCCAACCTGACAGGAAACAATTCTGTGAATGAAAGAACTAGTGATACAGATCACCCTTTCAGACTGCCTGCTGAATACAGCATCAGATTGAAATGCAGCCCTGTCACATATTGGGATTCTGTAAAATTGTCAATATAGCCAAGTACTGACAGGCTCAACATGTGACAAGGGCTGTGTTTCAATGACTTGAAATTGTACAACCCCCATCCCAAATATTTAGGCTACAAGTTTCCTTTCCCTGTCACAGGGTTCACATGCTTGAACCAGGATTGATGGGTCATGTGATTTGTGGTCCTGGTGATGCCTTCAAAGAGTAAGCATGATGCATGAAATGATCACAAGGCATCACCTGGCACAAATCACATGCAAACAGCAACCATGTACTATTATACACATATACTTGATTTAATGTGATCGATCCTGGTCTCAAGCATGCGAACTCCATGTGCAGGGAATGAAAAATTCCTTATTATGCATAGCTATCACTTCTCATTGCAACTTGACAAGAAATCCACCCCCCCAAATCCAAACTATCAGATTCAAAAACCAAACTATCACAATCCATGATCATAGGTTGGCACCCTGTGCTCAGAGTTCTTTGGACGGCTTGTAAGGGACCAGCGAATGAGTAGGAAATGCATGGCCTGGACCTAGCCACAAAGGTATGAGTCTCTGTCCAAAACCGGATAACATGCCACGCGCTAGTCTTTGCTGATCAAGGAAAAACGGCCGTCTTTGTAATATGCCTATCCGAGTCGTGGATTTCAAAGTCAAGTTCACCCCCGCGAATGGCTGGTGTCATGTAGGTTCCCTCTTCAAACCATTCCACAAGAGGCCATTTGGAGCAAAGCAGTGGGTCGGCCGATCGCAGACTCAGTCGACGCCATGCTTGCCCAATACGGTTTGAGAGCATGGGTACGGCCAATGCCCTCGCACAACCATCGCTCGCGGAGGGTTGCTGTGGCCCCTGTGGCTTTGAATCAATCTGGCAAAGGGCATGGGTTCAGAATCAATCCTAACCATACTACCCCAAACCAACCCTAAACCAACCCACCCTGAATAAATTCGCAAGATCCTTCTTCCAGATGGTACTGTAGTCCACCGATTCTGGATTAGGTTTCCCCACATTTGGAGCAACCTAGGCGATTCTAAATTGCAAGGTTCCCTTGTTCCCTGCTTTGCTTACATGCAGAGAAGGCATCGAATCAAAGCCCGCGCATTTGCTCGGAGGTCAGCAAGTTTTGGCTGGCACAAGCTCATAAGGAAAGTTCATAAGGGTCCGATGCACCAACGGCAAATTGAAGTGATCCGAAATCAAACCTGGTTAATTGAAGCTTCCCGGCTAGATAAGGGAAAAGGGCGGGACAATGTGATAATTTTCCCAGACCCCGCGCTGACACGATGCTGGGGGTATCAGACATGTTTGGGGGGGGGGGGGGGGGGGGGGTAGGATGCACGTTGATGATTGCAGTGCCTTCCCAGGAAACTCGTCGAATTGAAGCTGCCAGACACGGACAAAAACACCTGGTTACCCATCTGTGTGGTAGGAAGGATCCACTAAGCGCATGCCACGTTGATATATCCCAGCCATGACGGCTAGGAATCGGTCGATTCGTGAGATATCTTGATCCATGTGCAATGCATTACGCCATAACGAACCTTTTCCTGTGACTCAACTTGGTTTCCAAGTACCCAACCCACATTCTAAGTATTTAGCCCCTTGTGTTGCTCACGTTGAGACCTCTATCCTTGTGCGGGGTTTGGTCGGTTGGAGATGTGCCGGGTCCAAGAAGACTTTCAAAATGGTTCCTAGCGGTTGTCAACAGGGGGCCCTCATGGGAAGCGGAAGATGAGATACCGAGATGCAACCAAGTTGAAGGGGTCCCTTTTGACACATGCAACCAGATTTGCTGGACATGGACCTGAAACGATGCCAGTCTCTGCATGTGTGTGTGTGTGTGACAGAAGTTTGTCTCGATGGTTTGCTGGGGCCAGGTCATGTGCCTCATGGGACTATTTGGGTATGTCTCAATTTTGTTTGGAGCCCGGAATGACTTCGGGTGTCCTTGTGGCATTCTTTACATCCAGATGAGAAGGAAGAGTACCCTCAAAAAGCACTTGGGAATTTGTTGACAACTGCCTACCCGATGCATTAAACAAAACACACGTTTTATGGTCCGCTGCTGGAGGCTGCGGATCTTCGCCGCGGAGCACGAGGACAACCAGGCGGAAGGGCGGTTGCCTGTGCAGACTCCAGGTCCGTGGTTGATCATTCGGGGTTTAGCGGAAAAACGTTATACTTACCTCTTAAAAACAAACCTTTTCAACTTTTTGGGGGTAACATGGGCTATATGTCTGTAAAAGATTAACTTCCCCAATCCTTGGAGTTTTAAGGGGTAAGTATAACCATGGTTATAACTTGGGTAGCTGGGTTGGTGCTGGTTTGGGTTGTGATTGATCATTCGGGGTTTATCCCCACTTCTGTGATACAAGGGAATCTCCGGGCCCCCTTTATATGGGGGGTTAGTCTTTGGGAAGCCCTTTTTGGTACTTCCACAGAAGTGGATTCCATTTCCCACAGCCCCGCATCTAAGTAGAACCTGTCCCTTTTGTAGGGGATGTTCCCTCCAAAAGTGGTTTGAAGATCCAAAACGGGACACCCCTATCAAAATCGACCAGGCGTTTGTTTTGGGGTCAACATTAATCAAAACCCGGGATAAAGGTTAGGTGACGGCCAACCATGCGGGAATCCGCCCTGTTGATTCTTTACATGTTAGGTAGACCTTGCTTCCAGATTTTGAATTCGACCCAATGGTTGCGCTCTTTTAACGACGTTGCTTTAGGGCGGGCAGCGGCTGTTATTAGCTTGTGGGAATTGTTGCTTTGCTGTCTATTCATGACCACCCATCACCGACTAGAAACTCCAAAGACCAACGAAGTTGGGGCGCTTAGATTCTGCTTGGTTGACCAACGCCTCAACCCCATAAACAAAATATATTACGACGCTGATGGAGACAGGTCTGTATGCGATTCCTTGCCAGGGGTTCCCATCAAATGCAACTGGATCCCTCACTCGGCACCATCATGTCGCTGGTTCGGGGGCTGCTCTTGAAGCCAAAAGCGGAAGTGCGGTTATTACCTCTACCTGACCTTCAAGCCAGACCCAAATCACTTACTAGCGGCCAGCTGGTACACGGTGGGCAAATCCATCAACGCGTGAATTCATCAGGAGCCATTTGAAGCGAGGGGAGCTGAGGCAGAAGTGCTGAACATTGAGATTGCATCTTGACCAAACAAGTTTGGGTTGGTTGAAAGGGAAAACAGCAGGGAATCACTCATGTTCCTTTGGTTTCCCGTTAAAACCAGGCGAGGGAGGGGAGGGAATGAAACCCAAACCTCCCTCCCAGACCCCACGAAACCGCAAGCTCCTTCCCCCCGGGCCCCATGGGGACCCTCACGCCCCCCGAAACGCGTCACCGCGCTGGGTCCCCCTCAGGCGGCCATCGTGCGCTCGGGGGCGCTGCAGCTCTTAGTGCAGCTCCTGCACCACGAGTCGCCCAATCCTCGAAAGGCGTCTGCTTCCGATGGCCTGAGGAACTCGAAAACGAGGGGGGGAGGTGGGGGGAGGTGGGGGGGAGGGGGTTCTAAAAACTCACCCTGAGTTCATGGACTTGGAAAGACTTCTTTTTGGTGGCAAATACAAAGTGGGCCTGTCTCTAGGGTTGGAGCCCCCCACATGGGCTCTTACACTCCTTTTGAGCAATCCCGGTTAAAAGTGAACCCGTAAAACGGACACGTGTGAACCTAAAAGCTTTTGCATCAAAATCGGTACGCGATCGATTAGCTTGAGCAAGAGGACCTGCTTCGCTGCTTCTTTGCTCCGCCCGGGGTCGACGCGTAGATAGTGCCAAAGGTTTGTACAGTTGTTCAGTGACACCCTTTAGATCCCTTTTAGTTCTAAGAATGGTCAACCTCAAATTTAACTCACGCCCTGAGTTCATGGACTTCAGTCATTTTTTGGGCTTGGACCATGTGGTAAATAGAAAGTTTAGATGTGGCTTTTGCCAGTCCACTCAGGAAGTGAGAAAAATTGGGGGGGGATCACCCCCAAAATAGTGGTTGTCCTTTTTGGTTTCCAAGAAAAGCACACACAAAAGGAATCCAAGGCCAGAAAAGAGACTTTGGGTGGATCCCCTTAACAATTCGGGGTTGGTGTGAAAGGTAAAACGGCCCCCTCAGCCAGTGAAATGGTCCTCCAAGAATGCGCCTGCTGACCTTGATTTCTCAAATTGACCGCGGGCCATGCACTTTTGCCCCAGAAAACGAATGCGTTTTTTTCGTGGCTGTGGGTCAAAAATAGGTACCCAAACTGGAACTCTGGTAAGTGGAAACAAGGACTAGAACCTGCGGTCCAATTCCTGGTGGTGTATTTTTGACCCATACCCACACGTCCGCGGATCAAATCATCCAGTTTGAGGTTTCCCAATAAATGGTGGTTTAAACGGAAACGGGGCCCAAAAGTGCTTCGTAGCGCTGGTGGCTGCATTTTTCGTGCATAAGTATGGCAGTCCACGAATCGGCACCAATTCTGGGTCCAAAGTATGACATCCTTAGAACTTGGGGCTCCCAACCATCCCCTTAGCTTTTTGGCTGTTTAGTCTTTAGCGGGGCTAGAAGTCAAACTTTTAGCGGGGGATCTGAGGGCATCCCAGAAAAGTACTGGCACATGTTCCAAAAACCCAGAAGATGCACTAAATGTCTCATGTCCTCTGGGAACATTCGTTTGGACCGAAGCTCACGTGGATTAAAAGGGGTTTTTACAACCCAAAAGTATTCCTCGGAGTTTGGTACATTGGGGACTACCAAACCCCGCACTTTCTTTACATAAAATAATTGAGAACAACCACCCATTTTGAGAGAAGAATCTCGGTTTGAGGGGTTTCGCTTTGTGGAAATGACAAAACTCGATCTGGAAAGTCTGAATAGTGCAACTGTCCAGCGGGTGTAATCCCAGGGTGGAACACACAGAGCCTAAGACTATCGGGGTTCATATATGGTTGCACCTCACCCTTTGGTCTTCCTTCCCCCAAAAACTGGGTGGCTTCCTTTTGGTGTGTTTCTTCACCAAAGGGCTCCAACTCCCAGGTCGGGGGGTCATTTCCAGCTTGGCCGAAGGCCAAAACGTGGGGTGCTCTTTGGGTCCCCTCCCGGCCTGCGGGCCTGGCCTGAGGCCAACGCTGCGGGAGGAGGCGGCCCGAGGGCTTTGGAACCTGGCGCGCAACAACAAGGCGCGGCGGCGCTCGCGAGGTCCTCGAGCCGGGGTTTGGGAGTTGGAGCCCCGCGTGTTTTTTTTTTTTTGGTTGTTTTTTTTTGTTTTTTTTTTTGGGGGGGGACGGGCTTCTTTTGTTCCCATGTGGGTCCTGGTTTGATTTGACCCCGTTTTAGGTGTGAAACGGAAACCAAAGTTTCTTCCGTTTGAGTGGGAAAGCGTTGTTTGACCCCTTTTTAGGGTGGTTTGAAACCGAAAGAAACAAACAAAAAGCCACTTTGTCGTGTTTTTTTTGGGGAGGGGGGCTATTTTGAGACACACCGCTGATTTAAGGGGACACCAATGAGGAAATGTGTTTTGTTTTCAAGATTCCATGATGGTTTCCACGACCCCGAAACCCCTATGGGATATAGAACCATTAGTTGGTCTTAGGTCGATTAGAAACCCGCCATGGGTTCTATAGGTCTTGCGCTGTGTCGACTTGCCTGGGGTCGTCCAATTGGCACACGTAAAGTGCAGCCGATTGGGGAGTTCGATCCCTCAAAGTGGTTCGTTTGAGACCTAAAAAGCAACTGGGTTGTTAGAACCAAGGGTCCGCCAACCGCAATATCTCGCGTTTGTGTTTGTAAATCGCGAGTTGTGCAGATGGTTTGAGCGTGAACCATCCGTCCAGGCAATTTGCCAATTGGGTAAGTTACAACCAGCTCATTTCGGGTGTAAAAAAGCCTCACCATGATGAACCTCTTAGAATCAGAGGTATTCCTTGTTTCTGGCTAGCTACTCCGCAAGATAGATGTAAACATGCATCGGTCCAAGGTTCGCTGACAGGTCCTCGCCAATCCAAAGAACCCCCCTCCCTCCACCCATCTATGTAATCATGGTTGTCACGAGGATGTTTGTGAAGTGAAAGAAGAAGCCGTGGCTTCCCCTTCAAATATCGTGTTCTTTCACATGTTGACTCAGGTTTTTGTCAACAAGAGTCCTATTTGTGGATCGCAGACAAAAGCGATATAGACCAAACCGCCCATAGGAAAGCCATAAAACCGGTCGGATTCGCTCAGGAGGTCAACGTGCGGAATCAGGTGAGGGCTGAGTCGGGAGTTGCGCACGAGGGAGCTGGGTGGAGTGAGGGGGGGGCGGGTGCTATTGCCAAATAATGTGTGGTTTTCCCTGCCATTAACATGGAACCTGACAGGGACCCAGTCCCTTCAAAAAGTTGAGAATGATCCAAGCCAGGACCCCCTTGGTTTGGTTTTGTTGCTTTTGTGAAAAAGTAGAGCTCTTGAGACTTGACAAGACTAGAGTTGTGACCAGCAAGAACCAGGATTGACTCGGTCTACGAATTCCGAGATAAAGACCTGCAACACATGCCTTTGTGTCAAATTGGGACTTCAATTGTTCTCAAGATCGAAACCTTGGAGCGGTCCTGCTGTTGACTTCCCAACTGAAAATCCGATGCAAGACACGCGAATATTTCTTTGCTCGAGGTCGCGCGGCCGTCAAGAGCCGGCAAAGAGGTGATTCTCGGGGATGCCAAGCCATAGCCTTTTAGATTTGCAGAGTTTAGATGCAACTCTTTTGCACGTGGCTGTGTTGGCCATGTTACAGGCACCCAGAGTGGGGGAGATGATTGTCCCCTGCCTGGGGCTTGACATATTCCACTGAAAAGCTCAACTAGGGGTCAGTAAGGTGCGAAGGAGCCGAAGAGCTTTGAAGTTCTAAAGAAAGCCAATGTTTTTTTTTTTTTTTTTTCCGGACCTTCCAGCTGTAGCACCCGGTCTCAGGTAACACTTTGTTGCTGGTTTGGATTGGTGGTTTAGAGGTTTGAACCCCTGGTTCTAGTGAAGGGCAAATAGAAAACCACCCCGGAACAATTGCAAACCACCAATCCAAACTACCAACATAGCCCACATTCGTGGTATGTAGACAGATTATGTGTTATGCTTCTTTTCCTCGGGTTCTAGGGCATGTGTCAAACTATCCCTCTTCTTAAGGGTACCTTCAGAAAAACACACACCGAACTGAAATGGGGGGGGTCTCAAAATGGTGGACCCCTTTTGGTTAAAGTTTAAAGGGAAGCCAAAAGGAAACCGCCCATGTCTTTGTCGCCTTTGAGAAACGCCAAATTGGAACTTACCGAAGGGTATTTCAAAATGAAAGCCGATATCCATTTAGGTCCAAACACAAGTTGGTCTAAATCTGACAGCCATCGAACATGTGTATGTTCTCGCCAGTTCTTTATTTGTGTTTGCCCCTTTTTCTTTGGTGAAACTTTACCACTTAAAATATTCACCCCAAAACGTGTTTCCTTGTTCTACCAATCAGTGTCTATTTCCGCAGGTGACTTTCTTGTGACTGGTTGGGGAACCAGAAAGAAGCCAACCGTTTAGGTCCCTTTTCGGATAAACCCACATACCCAATCGGGAAGCTGACAAACGAGCTTCAGGTGGCCATCGGCAGGGCGGGGGCCATCCTTCCCTTGATCCGGCTCCTCGACGACCAGGACCAGCGGGCCTGAACCTCAGCGAACTGCGCGGGGGTGTAGGTGGATATGTTTGACTGCGCGAGGACGTAGTTGGCTCGTGTTGTTTGTCCCTGGTTGTGTTTTTGGCGTTGCTTTTAGCGTACCTTTTGTTCCACAGGTACCACATGACTTGGTGGCTCCCAGCCATCCGGTTCCTTAGCTTTTTAGCCTTTTAGTGTTTAGTGGTAGTTTCCATTTAACCCACTAAAAGCCTTTTTTTGCCTTTTAGTGGTTTTTGGTGTTTTTAGCCTTGTAGTCTTTCCATTTCCCCTACTAAAAGTTAGTCACTTTCAGCAGGGATCCGAAAATGGGCAGCCCAGATGAGAAATCACGTCACTGAGGCCAGCAGCCCTTTGGGTGCTTTTGTTCAGGATTGTTTTTCTTACTTCCATTTGCTTAAGAATATATATTTAGTTTCCCCTGTTGGTTTAAAGGGAATCTATCACCACTGGAAGTATTTGTTATTTTTCCAGGGGTCTTAACCAAATGGAAGCTTAGGGCCGCTTTAAGGGAAGCCCTTTTGAGCCCTTTGAGACAAACCTATGTTTTGTCTTTGTTGCATGTTGCTTGGATGTTAGGACTTTAACGTTTTGCCAACTAATGGGTTTTCCACTAAACCGCTAAAAGTTAAACTGTTAGCAGGGGAGCAGAAAGCAACCGAGTTGTTGCAAGGGACTGGTTGGCATGTCCTCCCCCCATGCCCAGATCCGGGTGGTGGCCGCAGCAGTGCTGCCGGGAGCCCAATGGGCGAGAACATTGTGGTTGAAAGGGGGGATGTAGCACCATTTGTGCCTCCGAGACATACACACTCTTGTCTTTCCTTGCGAGATAGCCAAACAACCATTGGTGTCCTTGCGTCCTTCTTAGGATAGCTTGGTTAGAAATAGACGGCACTGATATTTAGATTGACTTTACTCCATTTACCAGGGCCATCATTTTTCCCAAAAGGACACGCAAGGGGGATCCTTGATAAGTCGAGCGCCGATTCCCCGGTCGCTGTCTGACACCCACAGTAGGACTTGTAGTAAGTACTTGGGCCTGGTTAAAATGCATCCCAACCATTGGATCCTTGCTTGGTAGTAAAGGTGCATTCCAACGCATTTTAGAAGCCATGTTCGGCTTTTCACAGTGTCGTATTTTTCTCGGCTACGAAAAGGAATGATCTTTCTTTTGTAGTGCTCTCCCGAAATCGGGATTCCGGTAGAAAGGGAAGGTGCCAATTCGGTGGCTATATATTTTTTCCGCCCACTTGGCGACACGGACCCCGTGTGGAGCTAACCCAGTTAATTAGCGGGATGGGTCAGGAAAAGTTTGGCTCGGGGGGGAAGCTCAGGTGCATAGCTTTTTGCAAGTTTTGCACGCCATGTTTAATTTGTTCTCATGTCAATCATGTCCCACTTTGGACCTCCCAGTAGGGTCGCGAGTTTTTTTTTCAGGGAACCCCGAAAATCGGAGAAAAAATAGAATGCAAAAGTGTTCCTTTTGAATTCCCTGTAACCTGCCAAAACGCTAGTATCAACTCCAAAAAAAGACGCCACTTAGGTTAACCTCAGGTCGCCGATTCCTGGTCGCCGATTCCTGGCCCAGGAACGACCTGGCCGCTGACAACTCCGACAACCAGCTGGCGATCACCCAAGGAGGCGTCGCAGTTCGAGGGGATGCTGACCGCTTTCCGCTTTGGGGGTGTCTTGTTTTCAGTTGGTATTTGCCAATTTTCTGGTTTTGAAGGCAAACCAAGAGGAAAACCACCATTTTCGGGGTTGCTTGCGTTTCTTCCTGGTGAACAAATGTTGGGATTGTTTTGAGACATACCAAATCACCCAGGGTGTCCAGGATGGGTGTGTCTTGAAATAATGGGACGCCAAAAGAATTCGCGTCGCGGTGCTGCTTTCCCTGAAAACCCCCAAAAATGAACTTACCTCTTAAAAACACAACTTTTCGTAACTTTTTGGGTAACATGGGCTATATGTCTGGAAAAGATGAAAACTTCCCCAGGGCGCAGGGAGTTTTAAGGGGCAAGAGACTGCGGGAAGCTGACCACCCTTCAGGCGCCATCGACCCTCTGGTGCGGATCCTCAAACGCGACGAGGCGCTGCGCGTGCGAAACCGGCGGAGTTCTATGTGGTTTACTCGTGGTGTAGTCTAGGTGTACTCTAGGCTTACTTGTGTTTTTTATTCGGTTTTCTTGGGGTTGACTTCTGGTTTGAGGTGGGATTGTGAAAACAAAAATGCGCTGAATAATTTTGAAGGCCTTCCCCTGACTTAAAAGTGAATGCAAAATGATAAGAGTACAAAAGAAAAACGATAACAGGGCTTTCATGGCCAGGTCCCCCAGTAGTGCCTTTTACCCTTTTTTGGGGGAGGGTTCCCCTACTAAAATATAAATAGACTACAGAAAGAAAAAGTACCCTTATTCTAACCTCTCTACTGGAGGACCTAGATGGTTGATTGAAAAGCACCTGTCCATCTTGCGGGAGGTGGAGGTGTCTGTGTTTTGCCTGCGTGCCATTCCGCTCTGCCCATGTGCCACGAGGACTGGTCGCAAGGCACGGGCAAAATGAAGCCCGTCACCAGTGTGGCTCTCTCCAGGGTGGGAAGCCCATCATTGGCAGGGGTGTTTTGTGTGTGCCGCGCGAAAGCAGTTAATGAGGGAGAAGTGTGGCTAAGAGGGTGGCATTCGCATGTGGCCCGGTCTGTTTTGCTTGACCGAGAAACCCGCGCGCCTTGCTGGAATCGTCGTTTTTCAAAAACAATGCAGAAACTTCAGGACTGGCCAGTGGTCCGCCAGTCCCGCAAAGATACAGGGGCACCAGCATTTCCACGCAAAGGCGCCAAGAGTCAGTGGAATTTCAGGAGAGGCCCTGGCGGGTGAAGCTCGCAGCACGTGTGGAAGACGCCTTTTGCTTGGCAACACCGCTTACAACCACGCCAGACCATGAGTTCTAATGCCCCTCCATCGTGCTCCCCTCCACCCCCCAATTCCATTTTTGATCGGATTGATTGGCACGCAGCTTCCCTGACGAATGATCAGAAAGTTGCTGAAGCTTGTGGCATGGGTCGACGCCACCTTCCCCGGCAGTGCCTGGAAGGAGGAAGAGACCTGGAACTTGAGCCGCCGAACCCTGGAGACAAAACCCAGCTGTGTTTGCGGCCGCCCCTAAAGATCTACGGCCGGTGAGTCAAAGCTTTTCACGAACAAGTACACAGCAAGGCGCGCGCGGAAAAGCCTCTCCTCAAGATGCGGGTGGTCCTTCGAGCTCTTATAGCGCTTGGTTGCTTGAGCTTTTTCACAGAGCTACAGTCACTGCACGCTGCGCTAGCCTTCCTTTGAGCGTGTGCCTCATACTTAGACACTTCGCAAACCCTTGCAAAACGAGAAGAGCTCAAAAACGATTGCACGCTTGGGGGACAGCTAAGTTGTCAACGGGGTTTTTCACAAAGCCATGTGTTTACTTGCGGTGTATTCTAGGTTTACTCTTTTGCGGTTTACTTGTGGTTGACCTGTGGTTTGATGTGTTTACTTGTGCTTCACTTGTGGTTGACTTGTGGTTTGATGCGCTTGCTTGTGGTGTGTCCAAGTTTCACTTGGATCTTAATGCGGTTTACTTGCGGTGTTGTGCTACTTTTTGTGTGGTGTATCTTGGTTTACTTCGGGTTTTTTGCGGTTTACTTGTCGTTGACCTGTACTTTTGTGTTGTTTACTCACGGTATATTCTAGGTTTACTCGCTCTTTCTGCGGTTGGCTTGTGGTTGACCTGTGGTTTGATGTGTTTACTTCTTGTGTTTTGTATGCAGTTTACTTGCGGTTGACTTGTGGTTTGATGTGTACTTGGTATTGTGGTTTACTTGTGGTTGGCTTGGGTTGATTGATGTTCGTACTTGTGGTGCATTGTGGTTTACTTGTGGTTGTAAGTGGGTTTACTTTTGGCTTTAGGTGGTTTTCTATTCGTCCCTTTTTTGGGGTTGGCTTAACAAAGACCTGGAGGCCGCCAAATAGGGAGGGAGCCCGTTTAAACGGTCATGTTGACGGTAACTTAGACTGTAATTTAGAACATGTTGGACCCCGGGGATCATGGCTGATATACACCACTAGTTGCACGACTTCACAAGAGCTCACCTGAGCACGCAACGAGCGAACGCCCATATGATTATTAGTCTTTCATAGTGCGGGAGTTCTTGATTCCGAAGGAGAAAGAAAGCAGAAAGCGCAGACAATATGGCCACTGTACTATTCACATATATACACATGTGTGTGCATACAAATATGTCAATAGATGTGTAGTATATTTATTTGGTATAGAATGCCCTCGTGTTATTTGGGGGGGGGGTAGTGCAACCCCTGCTGGAGTGTTGTTCTCCCCCCTCACCCCCCACCCCGGCCCTCCCAGCTGTGGAGGGCGCAAGGATGCCCTGTTTTTAACAGCCTTGCTGAGCCTTTGGCAGGAAATCACAAGTGTGAATTCAACACGTGGGAATGGACGAAAATCCATTTCGCGCACCACATGATTCCCCTGTAGAAACCAACGAAAAATGGTTTCCCATGGCGTTGAAATGGTGCGAAATGGATTTCGTCCACCCGTTCAATGCGCCCTTGGGCAAAGGTCCCCTCACTTGAACAAACCCTTGCGATTGATGAGGGGGGATTTTCCCCTTTGACTGGGGATCTAAACCCCTCTTCAGGTTCTACTTTATTTGTGTTCCCTGTGCGGGTATTCCAGCGTGTTTCCCAAACACGGGCCTTCCTCAAAATCAACGGCTGTCGGTTTGGCTTCGCTGTACCATGAGACCCACAACTCCATCCTCGCACGCACGCAGCTGTGGGTTCTCCAACTCGGCAAGCAAGTCGATCACCAGCGATAAAAATTGAATCCTGGTGAAACCAAAAACGGTGTTTTGCCTCTGCGTCTCACTGGTTGCACTCAAACATCCTCCTAGTGCCCTCCCAAAACCAGAAGGAACATCCCGCACCTACGCACAAAACCGAAACCCTAGAAGTGTGGGGATAAGCCACCCACACCAGGTGCTGAGTGGATTTTGTCCATCCATGTATTTGCTATTCTCTTTGGTTTCCTCACTCCCTAACTGCCTGGATGTTAGTCGTTTTTTGGGTTCGGACCAATTGAGTCGCAAGGGGAAGTCAGTTTCCTTTTGTTGGGGCCCACTCTTTCGTTACGAACCTCTGCAGCTCCAACTCGAGGCACCACTCCACCTTTTTCGGGCGACCTGTTTGTTTCCCAGTGGCTTTGGAAGTTCGCCAGAAAATTGCAAGACGACTTCCTGTGTCCCCAAATGCCCTGTCAAGCTATTACCAAAAAGAGGTTTCCTAGCATGCCCTGTGGATCCCAGTTGCCCTTGTGGTGCGCGACGTGTTGGCCCGCAGTGTTCTTGGAGGCGGTGAAAATATGTTGCGCGCGTGTGCGCAGTCCTGCGGCGGACGCACGTGAAAGGGTGTGCTTGTCATTTGGTGAGCATGTGCGCAGCTCTGCGCAGACCCTTGTAAATGGGTGCGCTTATGATTCGGCACGTGCGCAGTGCTACGCGGAGCGAGTGTGCATTTCATGTGGCAGTCGTGTGTGCGGCGCTGCATATAATTTTGACAGGCTGAGAAGGTGGGCCTGCTTGCCACTCCAGGAACCGAAGCAAATGTTGTGTTGCAGTCCGGCTGAGCGTAATCATTTTGCCCCGAACCCCCCCAAGACCCGAATGAGGCTGGTGCGTGGTGGCTTATACAGGTAAATCCATGGATGGGCATGGATGGGTTTCCTTTTGGAAAATCGGGTTGGTTTATCGGATGTCAGGCCCCAGCTCTTGTCATGGCGGCGAGCCTCCTCAAGAGCTTGGCTCAGACAGAGCAGGCGTGGGGCCCCGCCACTTGGGCGACTTTTGATTGTGAAGCTACTGTGCCAGCAATGCCCGGAAAGAAGGTGGCTAGGCAAAATAGGCGCTAAGTGTCCGCAATACCAACTCCCCCAGGCCAGTGTTTGTTGATCAGCGTGGCTTACAATCTGGGTCCAGAGCAAATGGTTGTAAAAAAAAAGCGAGGGAATCCTAAGTCACATTCGACGATCACAGGGGTGGCAACAAGCATGTTGATACACCAGTTGGGATGGATGAAACCCTATAAGTTTTGGGATACAGCACCTACCAACCAGTGAGCTGAGGATTTGGTCCATCCACAGCATCGCAATATCACAGAAATTCATATGTCTCACACATTTGGGTGGGTTCCGCCCTTCAAAAGTTGACCAACTGGTTTTTGCAGATACTGCGTGGAGATTCCTGCAGAATGGATGGCCCATGTCTTTCGATGCTTTCAGACCTACTGGCAAGGACACATTTTTGGGGGCCTGGCCCTAGCCTAACTTGCCTCCCAGCCATCAGAGTTTGTGACGTAACCATTTCAAGAGCGAGCGATCCACCTGAATGTGGGGTGTCAAAATCGGAAGCACCCCCCCCAACAAAAGAAGGGTTCCTTTCGGGTTCCCTTCTCTGAAACTCCCCGAAACCCCCTGAAGCCCTCCGAAACCCTCCCTGAATGCAAACCACCCCAGAGCCCACCTGGGCAGAGCCAAAAAAAACTTGCAGCTGTTGCAAAAAGTGGAGGTGTTCCTTTTGCGTTCCCTCCAATACCAGCCTGAAAAAAGGTACCCTCCAAAAAGGTACACCCTTTTTGGGGGATTGCTTTAAAAAGGGGGCCAAGGCAAACCACTCATTTGGGGGGATCGCCTTTGAACACATCCCCCCAAAAGTATCGCCTCCGTTTCGTGGCAATCTGATTTTCAGGGGAGCTCCGCGCTTGCGGCTGCGGTGCCGCCTTTAGTGACGCTGCTCAAGGCAAAGACGATGCTGGCGCAGGAACAGGTGGGCTTTGGAGTGGTTTGCAGCATTCAGCGAGGGTTCCGGAGGGTTCCGGAGGGTTTCAGGGGCGAAGTTTGGAGGCTGCCCCTTTGCAGATTTGAAGGGAACCCGAAAGGAACCCTTCTTTCATTCGGCAAGATCCACTTACCAAAGCCCATCGACCGGATCTGACCTGGCGGCGATTTCTTTCAAGCCCTGTCCAGGAATTGTGTGTTCTCCGTTCCGCCAAACCCATGGGAAAACCTGGCGGCTTCGAATCCTTTTTTGGGTTCAGCCATTTTGAGTCATCCCAAAAGGTGATGACCTTTATTTCCAGGCACCAATGTTGACCCCATATTCATCAACCCCAGCGAAGTCCCCCTCCAAAAGTGATGATTTCCCACGCCCCCTTTTCATAAACTGGGGTTGGTTAATATTGGGTCACTATTGAGGGCAACGGAGCCAAGGCACCAAAACAAAAATACCAACATTGTGCCAGATCCTCGGATTTGCAGCTTGGGGGTATTGAAGGCAACACCCCACACGCTACGGGTACATAACCAAACACACACACACACACACACAGCCAACTGCAAATGTCGCTTTGGGCCGGGGAATGCTTGAACATGGAGACGCAAGCTGCTTATTTGACCCTGGCGTTCCCTTGGTTTGTCAATTCGACACAGGAAACGGTTTGGAAGGTGCTCAAGAGAAACAAGCTGGGGAGCAGTTCCAAACTGTAGCGACCCGCGAGGGTACCTCGCACACGAAGCTCGCTTTCATAGTGATTTTGCCTTGCTGTATTGGGGCGTGTGAATTCTTCCCAGACAGTTGCCGACTGGAGCGGGTTGGAACCAGGAGTATCTTCCCATTAACCAGACGCTTTGCACAAGCCCCCCCATGTCCCCCTTTTGCACCAGCAAACATATTCCAAGCAGTTATCCTCCGACCATGCGACTGGACGAACAAAAGACTGCCACAATGGGTTTCTTTTTTCTTGAGGGAACTCTCCAAAGGGTGGTGTCCCTTTGATAGCTAAAAGCAAAGCAGATACCCTCAAAAGACAGCCCGTATGTGAACAGTGGTTTTGGGCTCGGACGCTGTCCGAGTGTCCATGTGCTTTTGCGAAGCTGTAAAGCTGATTGAACTATTTCAAGTGTTTGAGCCATCCGTTTGGCGGCTATGGCTTTAGCGTCTTTGAACATACTAGAGCACACAAAAAACGCCAACTTCAGGGGCACATGTTTTCCACTTTGACGGTCCCTTGAAGAGGAAAACATGCCTCAGTATCCCGGCAATGAGGGCGCTTCGTAGGGGGTCGTCTCAGAAGCGGGGGTGCCTATTCCTTGGCAAGATGGTTTGTGATTGGGGGCGACAACCGCGAAAAAGTGCGACTCTGGCACCATCGTCGATTCGCGGCAAGCCAAAGCCGGTCAGGCAGCGTCAACCTTGGGAGCGCTAGCAGCGCACAGCCCAGGCATTCAGGCGGGCGCACATCGGACAACCCTGAATGCGAAGCCGGAATGGAATAAGATACACGGGGCCAAATGGTGCACGCCTTGCTCTCCTGTGAGCATGACAACAACTCGTTCTCAAAGTCTTGCACCGCGCAAATCCAGTGTTATTGAGTCGCTTGTAGAAAAATGCTCACATCCCAACAAAAACATGTTCCGACAGAAGGGGGCAATCCACTGAGGAAATTAGTATGGGGCTTGTCAAGAGTCTCTGACCCTTGCCATATCAAGATCAACCGTACAACCGTCATACAAGCCATGATCCAAAACGGTAGCCTGCCCTTGCAATTTCAGGAGAATCCACCGTGCATGGGTGTGTCAAAAAATTGCTCCCCTTCCCTCTATGGATGATTTTACAGGGTCACGAAAAGGAAAGCACTCTTTTCGGGCGTTCCACCATAAAAGACACATACCATCCCCCCCCCATTTGAGCTTGTCTCAAAATAGAGGGTGTCCTGCTGATTTCCCTTTGAAAAAAGGAACGGCCTCAACAAAAGACGAGCCCTTTGGTGGATATATCCTCTTCCTTCTGGTTGCCAATTGAAAAAGCAACAAAAGCGTACCCTCAAGAAAAGACGAGCCCTTTTTGGGATTCCGCCCATATCCTCTGAGACTCGTTTTTGCAGGCGGCCATCGCGCAAGAGGGAGCTGTGGCGCCCCTAGTGGAGCGCTTGCACGGAGACATGATGAAGGCGCGCAGTCTTCGTGTCAGTGTATGTGTTGGTTGCTGCATTGCTTGCTTGTGTTGTTTGATATGGCTGTGGGTCAAAACCCAGGAAACCCCTGGTGAACATCAAAATAGGTGGCAAATGGATGTTCATCCACCCCAAAATGGGATCGCCATAGGTTATGCCCCATGGCCATATGTGTCTAATTGGCGATTGTTGGTTGGATTGTGTTTGTGTTTGTTGCTGGTGAAGTTGATTAATCATAGTAATTATCTTCGTCCTCATCGTCATCCTCCTCAACATCATCACCACCACCACCACCACCAGCACCACCACCATCACCATGATCATCATCATCATCATCATCATCATCATCATCATCATCATCATCATCATCATCATCATCATCATCATCATCATCATCATCATGGTGGTGGTGGTCGTGGCGGCGGTGTTTGCTTCTGCTACGTACTGTTTGTTTCTGTTTGCTACTGCTATGAACACGCGCATATCACCCAATTGTGGCCCCACACACCGCGTTCCTCTCAACTGCCCTCGGCCAGGTTCTCTGCTCAAATTTTGGGGCGCGTATGCCAAGACTTTCTCTTGGGTATGTCGATCACTCGGTAAAGAAGATGGCGTTGACCTCATAACATCATGTCAACAAAGAGAGGATTCGGCAAAAGGGTTGCGGGCAACCCACCAACATCTGTAGAATGGGGGCGAGGCACTTGTTCCAGGAACTGCCAAGGGGTGCTCTCGCAAAGTCATGGTAAATCTTAAGACAGTTTGTTTATGTGGTGTGTGCTCTTGAATTTCTGTTCAACCTTAGAACTTGGAATGACTCGCTGCTTCAGTCGGAGTTTGCTTCAAATCTATTGCAGAATGGGCAGCTTTTCGGTGCTCCTCCTCCATCTTGCAGAGCCAAACATTTCTTCGTAACAGGGCCACCAACAGCCCCCAAGCTGGGCGTCAACCCGTCTTTGTGGGGGTTCGGGGTGAAATCCAAGAAGCATGTTGGTTTTGTCTCAAGTGGCGAACTCCCCTGCAATGGACCCATGGTTGGAATCTCCCGTGGCTTCTTCTTGGCTTCTCATTAAAACCAACCCCGAAAGCGGCGCACCATTTTGGGAGGGTGTTCTCGGTTGAAAAGAATGAGGAATCAAGCCTAGTCCCCCATCAAGGATTCTGTGTGTGTTTCCGTTTCCGTTTTGGGGTGAAGGCCCGTCGCACTATTTTCCGCCAAAAAAGCGAAGCTTCAAATGTTGGTAACATGTTATATTTTTGCCCTTCACTGCACTGATGGTAATATATATATATATATATTTATTTATTTATTTAAAAAAGAAGCCCTGGTTCCGGGGCTCATTTTTGGACAGGGAGCTGGGGTGTCTATTTCGAGTTAACATCGCTTTGGGAAACCGATCTTGGGGTTGGTCCAAGGGACAAACCCATCATACCGATATCAACGAAAGACCCCAAAACGTGTTTTTCAGTATTGAAACAGGGTATGAAAGACCCCAAAACATGTTATTCATACCCTTTTTGCCGCATTCCTGGCCTCAGTTGTGAAACAAAAAATTGGCAGTGCACCCCAAAGTCCAGTCGCAAGAGGAGCACAATGGCCAGGTAATTACTGCGTTTCTTGGGAATTCTTGGGAATTGCCCATCTGCGGTATGTGTGCAAATCTCAACTCGAGTCCATGCACATGTCCACGCGAGAGAACATCTGAAAAAATTGACAGCGTTGAGTCTGAGACATTGAAACGGTTGCCCCCCAACAAACTGCACAGCCGAGAGCGAACGCAACCGCGCAACCCACCCCACCCCCAGCCCCGTCCCATGAGCTGTTTGCAGCCGTGCCAATGGGCACCCCTTGTGAACGCTACCACCCCACCCCACCCCCCACCCCACCCCGTGAGCTGTTTGCGGCCGTGCCATTGGGGACTGCGCGAAGCACTTCTTGTGAACGCTACCAGACCACCCCGCACCCCAACCCCCCCCCCCCAAGTCAAAAATGAGCGTTTCGGCAAATGCCGCTAATGGCGGCATGAGCAAAAACAAAGTACCACAGCTGCCGCACCTGGTCGTGAATGAGTGGCAAGCGCAGAGTATATACATGTTTTTAACGGAAGCCATGGTTCGAAACACAAGCCTGGAAGGTTTGCAGCCACCCCTCAAAGCCCCTTATCAGATATTAAAGCGGTGGCACGCACAAAGGCACTTGTAGGGTCAGAGTCTGAATGTATGAAGATATCGATGTGGGCGTCAAGATACCACTGATCGGCAGTCCACAGGAGACGAAGTAGAGGACAGCTGTGTGGAGGGCCGAGACCGACTAGACAATGAAGAAGAACGTAAGACAGGGCAAGGGCGACGGACTCGACATGGCAGTTCTGGAGACTGCTCGGCGCTAATTAGAAGGGAAGTGCGAAGGATGCTGACCATCCCCCCTCCCCACACCACCCCACCCGACTCTCTCCAATGATCTGCCAGATGTCACGACAGTAAACATAGCATCAAGCCTGAAACAACAGAGGTGGTGCTTTGGACACTGCTTTAGCCCCAAAAAACGTACCCTCAAGCAACACGTGCCAATGTGGCTGGGAACGCCCTTTAAGCACAAGTTCCCGATCTCCATCAAGGTCTATAAGTGTCCTGGGGTCTCTGAAAGCTATGTTTTACGTTGAGAATTGAATCTCAGAAAACAACTTGTTGTGTACCAAGGGGGCGGGCCAAGTATCCTCAACATACAGTATCATGTCTGTATACATGCATGTAGACATACACACATACGTACATACATACATACATACGTACATACATACATACATACATACGTACATACATACATTCGTACATACATACATACATACCTACATACATACATACATACATCATAAATATTGATATACGTAAGCTTTGGTAACCCTGGCACATACTCCCAAAAGCGTCTCCTCAAAACCCGCCGGTCACGCCGGGCCAGGGCACGGCCATCGTGGCGCTGCGGAACCTCGCGGCGCGGCACGCGGAGAACCAGGCGAAGATCGCCAAGGCGCTCGATCGCGTTGCTTGCACGCGTGCGTTGGTGGAAGGTGTGGGAAGGCGTGGAGTATGTCTAAGGCTAGGTAAGGCAGGCTGGGGCGTATTCAAGCCAAACTAAGGATGAATCTTGTCCAGAAGAAGCATTTTCTCAGCGCATTGGGTTTTACAAAGCTGAACGCTTTTGGGGTTGCAGTTGAAGCGGGGGAACGTCGGGCTGGGCTTTGGGCGCTGCGATGGAGTTAAAACACGAGTCGCAAAAAAGTTGGCTGGCTTGGGAGCGGAGCAGGGGTTGTCGGGGATGGAAGTGAGATTGTTTTAAGCATAAATGACCACTTGTTAACTTCGGATTGATCCAGAAAACCCTGCTAGCCCGAGCAACTCTCAAAATGGAACATGACATTCAGAAACGAATGAGAGTGATGAGAAGAGCAATACTGCTATTGCAATGTAAGCCGGGTTTAGGTCTTAAGGGTATATCAATGATACGACATGACAACAAATTCGCTATTAGGCAGAAAGAAACAAATAATGACACTGATAATGATCTTGCCAAGCATGATAGATTTCAGGTGCGTTCCCCATTGAAGCAGACACGCAACAAAATCCCTTTCTTTGCCTTGTCCACTTGAGCCACGGTCAATATTGATGGAGTCAATTTTCACTCGCCGAGCATAGCGCAACGCATGTTTCGCCAGCACCGGGGGCCAAAGATTCAATCAACTGACTCTGATAACTTGCGAAGCTTCCAGCGTACTACGTATATGTTTGGTTGCTGTGTATATATATATATATGCAACATTGGTCTTCAGATCGGTGAGGGGAAACCACGCGGAAGACTGGTGCACAGCCTGCCGCCCAGTTCCAAAACTCCTTTGGAAGACCCCGAAAGGGAGCTACTGACCTTGACTCGAAAGGTTGGTGGCCATGGGCAACTAGATCAAACGGCCAAGGCGACGGAAACTCTTCAGCTGGAGTAAGACTCGTGCTAAACCATGGGAAGCCATGGTTTGTTCGGTATTTACAGGAGAATTGTTCTTTTATTCCAAGGTGTCTTGGATGTTGCAGGATTTCGTCCATCCACAGTATGTGCAAATACGTGTGCAGATGCTAAGCGACAATGCGCGAGAGAGGGAGAGTCAGAACAACAAGACTTACGCATCTATGCACACAGGCCTTGACTGAAACTTGCTTTGGGAGCTGACTGACCCAAGAACGCGTTTCTTTCTGGTGGACTTGTTTACTCACCCAATTAACATGGACCTGACATTGGGGGGTCCTGGATGTTCCATGTTAATTGGTGGGGGGTAAAGTGGGTTCCCACAATGTAGGTTTCGAAAGTTAAACTCGGATTTTCCTCAAGTCCGAATCCTTCAGGCCCTAGTGAACTTGCTTAAAACTAGACTGCTATTGGGCAACGGATCTTTAGACTTTAACTTTTGGGGAAATCCAGTTGGGTGTTCCACTGAACCCACAAAAGTTGAAAACTTTTTGCAGAGGGGTCAACAGCAGCAAAGAAGATGGGTTCCCACTTTGTACCCCTGTTCTTTAATTCATCGGGGAGGCCGGCGCCATCCTGCCGCTGGTGAAGCTGCTGGAGGATGCTATGCCCTTTGGCCATCTAAAAGCGGTAGTCTAAAGTGGAAAGCGGGATCCTTCTTTTCAAGGAAAGCATCAAAAACCCAGGGAAACGGCTGGTTTTTGAAAAGAACGATGGTTGAAAAGAATGGTTGGAATCAACCCCTAGAGGTAAAATCCGGCAGCACCGCAACCCGGCCGTTCTGCTGTTTCTCAAAATGAGCCACTTGCTCAAAACCCGGGTAGATGTGCGGCCGCCTTCTTAATTCTTTACATGGTTCTGGGTAGACCAAATTAATACCGGGTTTTGATTGTGACTCAAATGGGAAGAATAGAAAATGAGTGTATGTTTGATGTGACGCACGAAAATGCGAACCAAACTGAGGTCCGAGCCTCATATCGAGCAACTCCCATTTGGGTTCCCGTTTTTGGCAAGAGCAGCTGATCGGTTAATATAAAGTTTGGACTGCTTTGGCCAATCCGCTCAAAGCATGAGAGGTGCAACCAGGTTTGGGTTGCCAGCTTTCCAGTCACAGACTGCCTTTTGGTTTTGATCCTATTTGTGCAAAATGTCAACACGGCCTTGTTGGTTTGCCTGACCAGTCCCTATCAGCAAATAATCTCAACGTCCAAGCTGTTTGGTGGGACAAGATTATTTGGGTTGCCCCCCCCTCAAATCAGTCGGAGATAGTCGGAGCTTCGTGGTTCCAATAATGTGCTTGGTTGCAACAAGCGAAACCTGGTGGGCCGAAAGGCCAATGACTCACTGAAGTCCAACCTGGTTAATTTGCCTGCCAGCAATGTCCAATCCGTTCGAAGGGCACAAGGGGAGAGCCCAAGGTTCAAGGAGCCAGAGCCAATTGTTGCCGGGGGGGGGGGGGGTTCTGAGGTTCTACCCTGGATGAATGGATGACTGAGTCAAGCTTAAGAACGACCTGGGGCATGACAAGTCCGCAGGTTTGGGGGGTGGCTCCTTTTTCGCCCATCCTTGCTCGGCCAGTGATAGCAAACCACCCACCCACAAGCCCAACCCAACACACCCAAACCCCCCCCCCAAAAAAAAAGACACACCTTGCAAAGGATGGCGAGATCATCCATGAATGTCTCTGAAGTGGGCATTCCTCACTTAGGGTGTGTGGTGAATGACAATTCACTCAGACATGACGATCTGCTTCCTTGCTTGGGGCTTCCTCATTTCAGGTGTGTCAAACATATTTGCACATATGGAAAGAGACAAATGCACCCAAGCGGGCATTATATGTGGTCAGACAAGAAACATATGTTTCGTTGCTGAGGAACAAAAGTATACAGTATATAGCACACCCAATCGGTCATCGTGCTTACACACAACTCCCAAAGGGCCCAAGGAACTCTTGTTCAAAGCCGCCACTCCGCACCGAGGCCAACGGTCCGTGAAGAGGCGGCCAGCGCACTCTGGACTCTGGCGCAGGACGTTGGCCAGTGTGGGGCATGGCAAGCCCATGTTCGTCTCACAGGTGCGAGTTAGCAAGCCCCTTGCAGGGAGAAATAGCGCAAAAGAGGGAGGTTTTGTCGGAGGGGTGAGTTGGGCTCACTTCCCGTTCTGGACTTGATACTTGTTGGGTTTGGACCAGTTTTAAAGGTAAGCAACCAGTTTGGACTTGATCTGGCTGATTAATAGAGTGTGTCCCCTTTCAGTGGGGATTCATTACTTTTGGAGAGGCCCCCACCCGTTTAATAGGACGCGCTTATTGGGCCATCCAAGTGAGCAATCTTGAGCATTCCAAAGGCCTTCTCGCAGGGAACCGGTCGTCGGAATCGCGGCGAGGGAAAGCACGAGGGGCCCTGCCCTGGGAGGCTGTGTTGGAGTGTGTTTTTGGAGGCTATCCTTTTTGGTGCTTAGAAGGAAAACTAGAAGGAAGCCACCCAGGAGGATTCGTTTCATTTAAAGATGCACCCGCTATCCCCGGCAGCCATTTGGGAAGTGATCATTTAGGACCTCAGTTGCAAGTAGAGCAGCTAACCCGTCAGGTTGGTGATTTGGATTGGTGGGAACTGGGGATGTGAAGCACTGGTTCTTGTGGATGGGACACCACCGGAACACCTCCAAACCGCCAATCCAAACCACCAATTAGAGGGAACTTGTGGGTGAAATTCCGTGGGTGTGCACCTCTTCATCTGGGTGGATTACAACGACCTTACACGACCTCACACGACCTCACCCCAAATGGTGGTTTGGTGGTTTATGTGGGGAATAGCCCCCCAACCACCTTACTTCAGGCTGGTGAAGTATTATAGTTCACCTCTTGGTGCAGTGTTTTTTTCAGAGCTTGGTGCGTGGTGCAGAGCTCAGTTTCCAGCAAGCCTGCGGAGTAGGATGTGCGCAGCTGAGCAGTTCTTGCCGAGCGGCCAGGACAACTTTGAGAACCAGCTGGCGATTGTTCGGGCCGGCACCTGAGCCTAGGTCCCCCAGCGATCGGTGCCCTTTCTCACCGTCTTTTTTGGTTGGGGGGGTTCCCCTACTAAAATAGACTGCAGAAAAAAAGGGTACCAACTTATTCTAACCTCTCTACTGGAGGACCTAGGAGCGAGGAGAAAGGGTGGCACCTGGAATTGCTGTCGCAACTCTGACAGAAACACTGATCCCAAAAGCGAGCAAGGATCAGATAAATTTGCATGGGCAATGTTGACTTCCATCTTGGTTTTCAAGTGACCAGGGCATACAGCCGGCCCCTCCATGTGCGCGAAACTAAGCCACTGCGGGGGTGGGTCTAGTGTTGGTTCACCCAATATTTGGCTTTCTGGAATCTGGGACCCAGGGGCACTTGCGCAGGGCTCCGATGTTTGCCTTGCAAGGGGAACAGGAAACCTTAATCAGGGGGCTCCTTACAAAATACATTTTGCAACCAGTTGAAACATGTTGCTTTTTCAACACCAAACTAAAGAAATGGAAACCAGCATTTACAATTTGCAATGTTCAGGTGTATAATGCATCCGGATCCCTTTCTCACCCTTTTTTGGGGGAGGGTTCCCCTACTACAATAGACTACTACAGAAAAAAGGGTCCAACTTATTCTAAGCTTTCTGGAGGACCTATGGAACCTGACGTTCGGAGGGTCCTGGCTACCATGTCCCTTTCAAACGCGCCATTTCCTGTCAGGTTCCAGGTGAAAAGGGGAGCGGTCTGAAGGGAAACCACAAGGAAGACGCCCCCTTTTTGGCCTTTTGGGACACGCCTGGTGTTTGCAAGTATCCCAGGCATGCTGACCGCTAGGGGAGTTTCAACAAAACACGAGTTACGCTCAGGTACCACCTTTTGACTCTTGCTTCTGGTCTTGCTGCAAAGGCGTTTAGTCAATGGCCCCGAGTACACAGGGCAATTTCCCTATATTTCCCCCCTGGTTTTCAATCATCACGAGTTTGCCCAATGCAAACGGAGTTTGCTCTCGGTGCGATGATGCATGAAGGAAGCAATATGTGATAGCTCCCTTCTGAAACGCCCAAGGCCGGGGATTCAGGAGCTCACTGTTTTGCTGCAATCCTAGGGAGACTCGGGACTTGTGCAAAACTTAAAACCTGGGTCTCCACATTAGAGAGAGGATATATGAAGCGGAACCTGAACAGTTCAGTTGGGCCAAGAAACAGCGCTTCCATGACTCTCAAAGGGATTAGTTTTGCTGCGTGAGAACGTGAGAACTGGCATTGTCAACCGCTGTCCAACTAAGCAGCGACGTCGGATCTGAACCCTCGAAAGGGGCTTTGGTTCTTTCGGTTTCTCAAAGGAACACCTCGAAGATCGAGTACCAAGCCAACACATGAACGAACTCCAGCTTTCAAAAAGCAGGGTTTGGTCATGCGCCTTATGACGAACCTTTCCTTTTGCATAGACATGCCGCGTGCAATCCCAGATATCCTCGCGGAGCGAACCGTGATTAACTGGACGGCAGACATGATTCCCCATGCAAATGGTGTCCAGATCAGGCCCGTTCCAATTCAAACGCCTAGTTATGGGTGTGTCTTTATTGGAAGGTACCCTTTGTTCGGGGCTGAATCAAAATATGTTGCGGCAAAATCGTGTTTAGGGTTTGGGGTCTTTTCAAGAGCAAACCCGTGCTGGGGCGGGTTTCATCAAATCCCATGAACATTGTTTTGGCAGGCAGGTGTTTTTTTGGTGTTTTGTTCGGTTGGTTTAAAGAACCGCCATGATTTGTGGCTTCCAAAGCCCTTGACGCAAGCCCCGAGCTTGGAGCTGTAGGCCGGCGGCTCGGCCTCGATGGTGGCACTCCTCAAGGGAGATGCGCAGGAGCAGGCGGGTGGGCGGTTCACTCCGAAGGACCCGAAATTGTGGGATACCTATTTGCGTGTATCACCAAGGATACCTATTTGCGTGAATCACCAAGCATACCTATTTGTGTGAATCACCAAGGATACCTATTTGCGTGAATCACCAAGGATACCTATTTGCGTGAATCACCAACGATACCTATTTGCGTGAATCACCAACGATACCTATGTGCGTGCATCACCAAGGATACCTATTTGCGTGAATCACCAAGGATACCTATTTGCGTGAATCACCAACGATACCTATGTGCGTGAATCACCAAGGATACCTATGTGCGTGCATCACCAAGGATACCTATTTGTGTGAATCACCAAGGATACCTATTTGCGTGAATCACCAACGATACCTATTTGCGTGAATCACCAACGATACCTATGTGCGTGCATCACCAAGGATACCTATTTGCGTGAATCACCAAGGATACCTATTTGCGTGAATCACCAACGATACCTATGTGCGTGAATCACCAAGGATACCTATGTGCGTGCATCACCAAGGATACCTATTTGCGTGAATCACCAAGCATACCTATTTGCGTGAATCACCAAGGATACCTATTTGCGTGAATCACCAAGGATACCTATTTGCGTGAATCACCAACGATACCTATGTGCGTGAATCACCAAGGATACCTATTTGCGTGAATCACCAACGATACCTATTTGCGTGAATCACCAACGATACCTATGTGCGTGCATCACCAAGGATACCTATTTGCGTGAATCACCAAGGATACCTATTTGCGTGAATCACCAACGATACCTATGTGCGTGAATCACCAAGGATACCTATGTGCGTGCATCACCAAGGATACCTATTTGTGTGAATCACCAAGGATACCTATTTGCGTGAATCACCAACGATACCTATTTGCGTGAATCACCAACGATACCTATGTGCGTGCATCACCAAGGATACCTATTTGCGTGAATCACCAAGGATACCTATTTGCGTGAATCACCAACGATACCTATGTGCGTGAATCACCAAGGATACCTATGTGCGTGCATCACCAAGGATACCTATTTGCGTGAATCACCAAGCATACCTATTTGCGTGAATCACCAAGGATACCTATTTGCGTGAATCACCAAGGATACCTATTTGCGTGAATCACCAACGATACCTATGTGCGTGAATCACCATGATACCTATTTGCGTGAATCACCAAGGATACCTATTTGCGTGAATCACAATCTATACCTATGTGCGTGAATCACCAAGGATACCTATTTGCGTGAATCACCAACGATACCTATGTGCGTGCATCACCAAGGATACCTATTTGCGTGAATCACCAAGGATACCTATTTGCGTGAATCACCAACGATACCTATGTGCGTGAATCACCAAGGATACCTATTTGCGTGAATCACCAAGGATACCTATTTGCGTGAATCACCAACGATACCTATGTGCGTGAATCACCAAGGATACCTATTTGCGTGAATCACCAACGATACCTATGTGCGTGCATCACCAAGGATACCTATTTGCGTGAATCACCAACGATACCTATGTGCGTGCATCACCAAGGATACCTATTTGCGTGAATCACCAAGGATACCTATTTGCGTGAATCACCAACGATACCTATGTGCGTGAATCACCAAGGATACCTATTTGCGTGAATCACCAAGGATACCTATTTGCGTGAATCACCAACGATACCTATGTGCGTGAATCACCAAGGATACCTATTTCCGTGAATCACCAACGATACCTATGTGCGTGCATCACCAAGGATACCTATTTGCGTGAATCACCAACGATACCTATGTGCGTGCATCACCAAGGATACCTATTTGCGTGAATCACCAAGGATACCTATTTGCGTGAATCACCAACGATACCTATGTGCGTGAATCACCAAGGATACCTATTTGCGTGAATCACCAAGGATACCTATTTGCGTGAATCACCAACGATACCTATGTGCGCAATCACCAAGGATACCTATTTGTAATCACCACCATACCTATGTGCTAGAATCACCAATGATACCTATTTGTGTGAATCACCAAGGATACCTATTTGCGTGAATCACCAACGATACCTATGTGCGTGTATCACCAAGGATACCTATTTGCGTGAATCACCAACGATACCTATGTGCGTGAATCACCAAGGATACCTATTTGTGTGAATCACCAAGGATACCTATTTGCGTGAATCACCAACGATACCTATGTGCGTGAATCACCAAGGATACCTATTTGCGTGAATCACCAAGGATATCTATTTGCGTGAATCACCAAGGATACCTATTTGTGTGAATCACCAAGGATACCTATTTGCGTGAATCACCAAGGATATCTATTTGCGTGAATCACCAAGGATACCTATTTGTGTGAATCACCAAGGATACCTATTTGCGTGAATCACCAAGGATACCTATGTTCGTGAATCACGAAGCATACCTATTTGTGTGAATCACCAAGGACACCTATTTGTGTGAATCACCAAGGATACCTAGTTGTGTGAATCATCAAGGATGCCTATTTGTGTGAATCACCAACTATACCTATTTGTGTGAATCACCAAGGATACCTATTTGTGTGAATCACCAAGGATACCTATTTGTGTGAATCACCAAGGATATCTATTTGTGTGAATCACCAAGGATACCTATGTGCGTGAATCACCAAGAATACCTATTTGTGTTAATCACCAAAGATACCTATTTGTGTGAATCACCAAGGATACCTATTTGTGTGAATCACCAAGGATGCCTATTTGTGTTAATCACCAAGGATACCTATTTGTGTGAATCACCAAGGATACCTATTTGTGTGAATCACAAAGGATACCTATTTGTGTGAATCACCAAGGATACCTATTTGTGTGAATCACCAAGGATACCTATTTGTGTGAATCACCAAGCATACCTATTTGTGTGAATCACCAAGGATACCTATTTGTGTGAATCACCAAGGATACCTATTTGCGTGAATCACCAAGGATACCTATTTGCGTGAATCACCAAGGATACCTATTTGTGTGAATCACCAAGGATACCTATTTGTGTGAGTCACCAAGGATGCCTATGTGTGTCAATCACCAAGGATGCCTATTTGTGTGAATCACCAAGGATGCCTATCTGTGTGAATCACCAAGGATACCTATTTGCGTGAATCACCAAGGATGCCTATTTGTGTTAATCAACAAGGATGCCTATGTTTGTCAATCACCAAGGATGCCTATTTGTGTGAATCACCAAGGATACCTATTTGCGTGAATCACCAAGGATACCTATTTGTGTGAATCACCAAGGATACCTATTTGTGTGAATCACCAAGGATACCTATTTGTGTGAATCACCAAGGATACCTATTTGTGTGAATCACCAAGGATATCTATTTGTGTGAATCACCAAGGATACCTATGTGCGTGAATCACCAAGAATACCTTTTTGTGTTAATCACCAAAGACACCTATTTGTGTGAATCACCAAGGATACCTATTTGTGTGAATCACCAAGGATACCTATTTGTGTGAGTCACCAAGGATACCTATTTGTGTGAATCACCAAGGATACCTATTTGTGTGAATCACCAAGGATGCCTATTTGTGTGAATCACCAAGGATACCTATTTGTGTGAATCACCAAGAATACCTATTTGTGTGAATCACCAAGGATACCTATTTGTGTGAATTATCAAGAATACCTATTTGCGTGAATCACCAAGCATACCTATTTGTGTGAATCACCAAGGATACCTATTTGTGTGAATCACCAAGGATACCTATTTGTGTGAATCACCAAGGATATCTATTTGTGTGAATCACCAAGGATACCTATGTGCGTGAATCACCAAGAATACCTATTTGTGTTAATCACCAAAGATACCTATTTGTGTGAATCACCAAGGATACCTATTTGCGTGAATCACCAAGGATACCTATTTGCGTGAATCACCAAGGATACCTATTTGCGTGAATCACCAAGGATACCTATTTGCGTGAATCACCAAGGATACCTAGTTGCGTGAATCACCAAGGATACCTATTTGTGTGAATCACCCAGGATACCTATTTGAGTGAATCACCAAAGATACCTATTCTTGTGAATCACCAAGGATACCTATTTGTGTTAATCACCAAGGATGCCTATTTGTGTGAGTCACCAAAAATACCTATTTGTGTGAATCACCAAGGATACCTATTTGCGTGAATCACCAAGGATACCTATTTGTGTGAATCACCAAGGATACCTATTTGTGTGAATCACCAAGGATGCCTATTTGTGTGAATCACCAAGGATACCTATTTGTGTGAATCACCAAGGATACCTATTTGTGTGAATCACCAAGGGTAGCTATTTGTGTGAATCACCAAGGATACCTATTTGTGTGAATCACCAAGGATACCTATTTGTGTGAATCACCAAGGATACCTATTTGTGTGAATCACCAAGGATGCCTATTTGTGTCAATCACCAAGGATATGCCTATTTGTGTGAATCACCAAGGATACCTATTTGCGTAAATCACCAAGGATGCCTATTTGTGTTCATCACCAAGGATGCCTATTTGTGTTAATCACCAAGGATGCCTATTTGTGTGAATCACCAAGGATACCTATTTGCGTGAATCACCAAGGATGCCTATTTGTGTAAATCACCAAGGATATCTATTTGTGTGAATCACCAAGGATACCTGTTTGTGTGAATCACCAAGGATGGCTATGTGTGTGAATCACCAAGGATGCCTATTTGTGTGAATCACCAAGGATACCTATTTGTGTTAATCATCAAGGATGCCTATTTGCGTTAATCACCAAGGATGCATAGTTGTGTGAATCACCAAGGATGCCTATTTGCGTGAATCACCAAGGATACCTATTTGCGTGAATCACCAAGGATGCCTATTTGTGTGAATCACCAAGGATACCTATTTGTGTGAATTGCCAAGGATACCTATTTGCGTGATTTACCAAGGATACCTATGTTCGTGAATCACCAAGGATACCTATTTGTGTGAATCACCAAGGATACCTATTTGTGTGAATCACCAAGGATACCTATTTGTGTGAATCACCAAGGATACCTATTTGCGTGAATCACCAAGGATACCTATTCGTGTGATTCACCAAGGATACCTTTTTGTGTGAATCGCCAAGGATACCTATTTGCGTGAATCACCAAGGATACCTATTTGTGTGAATCACCAAGGATACCTATTTGTGTGAGTCACCAAGGATGCCTATGTGTGTCAATCACCAAGGATGCCTATTTGTGTGAATCACCAAGGATGCCTATTTGTGTGAATCACCAAGGATACCTATTTGTGTGAATCACCAAGGATGCCTATTTGTGTTAATCAACAAGGATGCCTATGTCTGTCAATCACCAAGGATGCCTATTTGTGTGAATCACCAAGGATACCTATTTGCGTGAATCACCAAGGATACCTATTTGTGTGAATCACCAAGGATACCTATTTGCGTTACCTAGTTGCGTGAATCACCAAGGATACCTGTTTGTGTGAATCACCAAGGATGCCTATTTGCATGAATCACCAAGGATACCTATTTGTGTGAATCACCAGGGATACCTATTTGTGTGAATCACCAAGGATACCTATTTGCGTGAATCACCAAGGATACCTATTTGTGTGAATCACCAAGGATACCTATTTGCGTGAATCACCAAGCATACCTATTTGTGTGAATCACCAAGGATTCCTATTTGCGTGAATCACCAAGGATACCTATTTGCGTGAATCACCAAGGATACCTTTTTGTGTGAATCACCAAGGATGCCTATTTGCATGAATCACCAAGGATACCTATTTGTGTGAATCACCAGGGATACCTATTTGCGTGAATCACCAAGGATACCTAGTTGTGTGAATCATCAAGGATGCCTATTTGTGTGAATCACCAACTATACCTATTTGTGTGAATCACCAAGGATACCTATGTTCGTGAATCACCAAGATACCTATTTGCGTGAATCACCAAGGATACCTATTTGCGTGAATCACCAAGGATACCTATTTGTGTGAATCACCAAAGATACCGATTTAAGGATATCTATTTGCGTGAATCACCAAGGATACCTATTTGCGTGAATCACCAAGGATACCTATGTGCGTGAATCACCAAGGATACCTATTTGCTCGCGTGAAACACCAAGGATACCTATTTGTGTGAATCACGAAGGATACCTATTTGTGTGAATTATCAGGAATACCTATTTGTGTAGAATTCCTATCTGTGTGAATCACCAAGGATACCTATTTGTGTGAATCACCAAGGATACTTATTTGCGTGAATCACCAAGGATACCTATTTGTGTGAATCACCAAGGATACCTATTTGCGTTACCTAGTTGCGTGAATCACCAAGGATACCTATTTGTGTGAATCACCGAGGATACCTATTTGTGAGAATCACCAAGGATACCTATTTGCGTGAATCACCAAGGGTACCTATTTGTGTGAATCACCAAGGATACCTATTTGCGTGAATCACCAAGGATACCTATTTGCGTGAATCACCAAGGATACCTATTTGCGTGAATCACCAAGGATACCTATTTGCGTGAATCACCAAGGATACCTATTTGTGTGAATCACCCAGGATACTTATTCGTGTGAATCACCAAAGATACCTATTCTTGTGAATCACCAAGGATACCTATTTGTGTTAATCACCAAGGATGCCTATTTGTATGAGTCACCAAGGATACCTATTTGTGTGAATCACCAAGGATACCTATTTGTGTGAATCACCAGGGATACCTATTTGTGTGAATCACCAAGGATACCTATTTGCGTGAATCACCAAGGATACCTATTTGTGTGAATCACCAAGGATACCTGTTTGTGTGAATCACCAAGGGTACCTATTTGTGTGAATCACCAAGGATACCTATTTGCTTGAATCTCCAAGATACCTATTTGCGTGAATCACCAAGGATACCTATTTGCGTGAATTACCAAGGATACCTATTTGTGTGAATCACCAAGGATACCGATTTAAGGATACCTATTTGCGTGAATTACCAAGGATACCTATTTGTGTGAATCACCAAGGATACCTATTTGCGTGAATCACCAAGGATACCTATTTGCGTGAATCACCAAGGATACCTATTTGTGTGAATCACCAAGGATACCTATTTGCGTGAATCACCAAGCATACCTATTTGTGTGAATCACCAAGGATACCTATTTGCGTGAATCACCAAATATACCTCTTTGCGTGAATCACCAAGGATACCTATTTGTGAGCCTGTGGCAGTTTGTGGAGCTTCTTGGGTGGTTCAGACTCGAAGGTGAAGCCCTATTCCTCCAACTAACATGGCACCTTTTGGGAACCTGGATTGAATTTGTTTGAAGGGACCCCTTGCCAGTTGCCATGTTAGTGGGAGGGAGGGTAGTGATTTTCCAAGGGGCTTTTTCACTTGTTGGGACTCCAATCTTTTGTGCCTTTGGTCAAAAAGCAACACTTTGGGTTGCAATCCTTTGGATGGCCACAGCAACAACTGTTGACCTTTTTCGTGTTTTGGTCCAAGGCTCCATTTTTCACGTCAATCAGTTCAACCTTTCAGTTGTTAATCCGTTGTGGATCTTGGTTGACTGTTGACGTTTGATCCAAAAGTGATCACCGCGTCGTTCCTGTCTTTGGCTTTGGGGGGGGCCTGTGGGGATGGGGTCTATCCCTTGTTAACTTCAGGCCTTATCAAGGGCCCTAGCCCCTGTCAGGGTCCATGATTCCTTGCTGTTCGACCCGTAACGAGTCTCATTCTAGCGCCAGGCAACTCTCGCCCTGCTGCAGCTGGCAGAAGTGGGCCATCGGTGAAGAACAGAGACGATGTGATTTGCAGCACGGAGCAAAAAGTGCAAAAGCAATTCAACGGGTTGGGTCGCATTGATTCCATCATTGACCAATATTATAGGGAATGTATCTCAATCAATGGTTAACGGATATGTTTATCAAAAATGCATTAGTTAATAAATGTTATAATCCACACATATATATATATATATATTATCCGCTTCGCACCAGCTGGGATGGGTAAAAACCTTCGAACTCTGGGGTAACCAGCTACCAACTGATGCCAAGTGGAAATTCGTCCATCCACAGGTGTCCTTTTTTGGTAGATCGCTTGAAAGTGTATGACGCTGCGCAAAAAAACTTCGGTTCTCATCTTTTGCGTGCGGACATGTCCTCTTGTTTGTCCCTACTACTGCCCCAACCAAACTAGGTCCCCACTAGGCCCTTTTACCCACTTTTTTGGGGGGAGGGTTCCCCTACTATAGACAAAAGAAATCGGGTACCATCTTATTCTAACTTTTCTGGACCCAGCAAACCCAACTTCCAGTCCTATCGGGTGTCATGTCTCGCATCCCAACTGGCCCGGGTCCGACCACGACTCCAGGGCTCCAGGCCTCCAGGCCCGCCACATCGCCACGGGTGGTGTGTGTCTTTTGGGGAACATTCTCACAAAATGGGTGGGTTCCCTCTTGGTGTCCCCTGAAAAACCCACCGAAAGCCGGGTTTCCCCAAGCAAAACACGTCGACCCCCACGCCATTGCGTGCTTCAGCCATTTCGGCGACCAGCTTTTGACGCAAGAAGTTTTGAACCCGATGGCGACGCTCCACGGGCTGGTTGAAGCCAGTGCGGCCAGGCAGGGGCTGGGGGCTCCTTTGTTTTGGGCACTCACTTTGGGGCTCCCCCTATTTTTTGCGCGGACATGGCGTTTCAGTTTTTGTTTGGTGACCAGCCCCAGGGATGATGTGTAAAGCAGAAAGGAGAGACATGCCCAATGTGGGCGGTGGGCGGTGGCAAAGGAACGAGCTTTTAAACGGGCTGAAGGTTGGGTTGATTTCTTCGGAGTCAAGGATGGCTCTCCAGTTTTGAGCGGGGCACTGAGTATGGTCCGGACACATCGAAACTTGAATGTGAACCCTGGCTGCGAACGCCATTTGCCCAGACCGGTTGCTTGTTAGGGTCCTCTTTTCTTTCTTTGAGCACTCCCACGTTGCAGGGACATGAGCACCATCATGCACCCTGTGACGCCTTGTTGGACGGCAGAGTCCGACCCTTCCGAGGCGACCACAGCAGATTTGCCTCCGCTACGGCGACGAGAGAGGGCTCACGTATTGCGAGGTTTGGGCGGCGGTGGAGCGTTGCGCCAGCCACTTGGCGCTGATCGACGCTGACATTCTGGCGCTGGTGGCGGATCGCTCCTATGGACTGGTGGTGAGTCTCTTGGGAGTGCTGCGGTCCGGCAAAGCGCGGCTTCGCTGCTCTTGGCATGATGGTGCTTTGCTTCCATTTTCCTGAGATGAATATGTGTTATTTCCCCTGTTGGTCTTGAAGGGAACCTATCACTACTGGAATTGTCATTTTTCCCAGGGGTCTTAACCGAATGGAAGGTTTGTTGTGATGTCTGTTCATGTTTCCGCGGAGGGCCGCAAAGATCAAGGGGACCAAAGGGCGTTGCTTTTGGGTGCCAATCTATTCCATCACGGGAGGTGTTGGCACATCAGCCCAACTTCCTCCAAGTGTCTTTTTGCTGTTTTGGGTTTGGTCTTTTCGGAGCGGCCCTCTCAACACACCCACCCCACCTCCCACCGCCCCTAAAAGACATGTTTTCTCTTTTTGCCCGGGTTTTGCGCACATGCAAAAAAGAAGAGAACAAAATAGATGCTATTTCTTCTTGTTTTATCGCTCCCCCCTTCCCCTTCCCCTTCCCCCCACCCCCCCGAGGGGAAAAAAACAACGCTATGTTATTTCTTGTCGTTCCACCGATGTTTGCGCACATTTTCCCTTTGGACAGGTACAGCCCCATCGAGCCAGACTTCCCGGCCAGCCGCGCGCAAGCGATGCTGCAGACGGCGGACATCCAGTACGCGCTGGTGCCAGTGCAGCAAATGCCGCAGCCCCTGCTGCAGGGCAGGCAGGGTTTCAGCTAATGTGGACCCCCTATTAGTCAACCCCAGTTTACGAGGTGCAGCAAACACAGCTTGAAAGAGTCCTTGCCCCTGAACGGTCGGACTGCTCCTGTCCTTCCCAGCCTTCTCCTTCAAGCCTTCTTCAGCATAGGTGTCCTTTTTGGTTGTTGTGGTAGAAAAATAGGTGGCGATTCCTGGTTTACCTGGTGGTTTAGTCATCTACCAACTTTTTAACTTGTTTGTCTATTTTAGTAGGGGAACCCTCGCCACAAAAAAGGGTAAAAGGCATTCATGTTGATCCCCTATTAGTCGACCAACCTGTTTTTTAATAGGGGGGCGGGGGCCCCTCCAAAAGTGGGCTGATTCCCCACTAAAACCAGGGACACCCCCATATTAATTGATCAGGGGTTTATGAATAGGGGGTGTTCATTACCCTTCTGCTCGGTGGCGAATTGCCAGCCATCCGGTTCCTTAGCTTATTAAGCTATTAGGGTTTAGTGGTAGTTTCCATTAGTCCCATTAAAGATAAAACGTTTGGCAGGGATCTGAGGGCAGGCCAGTTATTGGTTGGATTTGCATTTTAGTCCATGCGTCTAGAAGAGTAAATGGGAAGCGGATCTTGATTTGTGGCTTGGATTGGTGGTTTCAATCCAAATGGGAGAGCCCCCAACTCAAAGGGGCACCAAAGGTAGGAATGCACCGCACGACAACTGGAGGCCAAGCTGCTGAAATGGTTTGCTTAAAGCCCGGGGGTTTGCACCACAAACTCCAGGGACCTAGTGGTCCTGGGTGTGCACGATGACGGCCGCGTTTGCACGGAGAACAACGTGGTGCTGGCCTCAGACGTGTCCAAAGTGCCCAAGACGGTGCCTGACAGCGCGACGGCATACGCACCTTGGCTCGAGCGATTTGAGGTGATTTGAGTCGTTGGGTCAAAAGGCCTCATATGGCTTGGTGGCTCCCATCCGGTTCCTTTGTTTTGTAGCCTTTTGGTTGGTTTAGTGGTTGAGTCTGCGATTTTAACCCACCAAAAGTTTTACTTTTAGCAGGGGATCTGAGGACAGCCCAGACATGGGAGTGTGTCAGCTTGGATCTTCAACTTGTTGAGGAAATGACGGAAGTCCCCCCAGCCAGTGGGACACTGGATCACTTTTTGGGTGTGAAGACCCAAGAGAAAGCGTGGAGCCGCCGAGCCCCAAAGTGGTGAGGTTGAGCTTTCCGTTTGGTTCCCTTCAATTGAACCTGAGAAGCCTAGGCTCAAAATAGAGCAGCCATATTGTTTTCCTCCGCACAATGGGTCACTCCTCAGTGGATTTCACCTTTTCGACTCTGTTGGTTTCAACAAGAGCAAACGGCAACACCCTAGGAGCCCAAGACGCTGCCTCATTTTTTGAGGGGGGGGTCAAAAATCCTGTCTGGGCTCAGATGGGGAAAGGCGACATCCCAAGAAGTTGTCTCATTTGAGGGGTTCAAAGGGGGTCACCGGCCCTCATCTCTACGGTCAGCTCGGGATTTCAAGTCACAAAAGGTGCTTCAACACACCAAGAGTGACCCTTCTATCGCGAAAGGTCGAAAAGGTGAAATCCAAGGAACTGGATAGCTCGATGAGTGACCCTTTAGGGGGTGGGCTTGGGGGGGAGGAAAATGATTGGAGCCTCGGCTTCTCCAACGCAAACGACAGAACCCTCTCGCGAGGTGTGGGGTAACCCCAAAATGGAACCCTGCTGACTGGAAACAATGACTAAAGCCTGCAAAACCCTAGCTCCTTGACTTTGAACCGCACCCATGTGAGTCGCAAGTAGTGCCCTTTTACCCTTTCTTGGGGGGTTTTGGGTTCCCCTACTAAAATAGACCACCGACAGCAGTTGGTACCAACTTATTCCAACCCCCTCTACAGCACCTAGAATGACGGAAAAAAAAAGAAAAAAGAAAAACGTGTTCCACTTCCCGGTTTCAAAATTTTGCGCAGGTGCTCTTCACCTCGGGCTCCACGGGGACGCCCAAGGGCTGCATGGTGCCGCACCGGGGCTCCGCGCTCTACGCGCGCGCCGTGGTGGAGGCCTGCGGCCTGGAGGAGTCCATGAGCTTCCTCTTGAAGACGCCCTACGCCGCTGGGAGGAATTTGTGGGGTCCATGTTGACATTGGCCCGGAAGCATGGGGAAACCCATTGTTTTGATCTTGGGAAACCCATTTTGTTGATCTTATTGTGGCTTGGAAACATGGGAAACCCGTTTTTTTGGTCTTATTGTGGCTTGGAAACATGGGAAACCCATGTTTTTGGTGACACGCCCCACCGGACCCGTGGAGGCGTTTCTTTTTGGAGGGTGGGGGGGGGGGGGGATGACAGCGACCATGTCCATGTGGAGGCGTTTCTTTTTGAGGGGTGGGGGGGGGGGATGACAGCGACCATGTCCATGTGGAGGCGTTTCTTTTTTGAGGGGTGGGGGGGAGGGGGGGGGGATGACAGCGACCATGACCATGTTGCCAGACCCGGCAGGCGCGGCTTTGGTGTCTTCTGCGTGTGGCGGGGGGGGGAAGAGGCGGGCGAACTGAGCCCCCGCAGGCACGAGTTTGGCTGGAGCAGGGCATGTGGCATGTGGCAAGCGGAGTGATGGGCACTTCAAAAGCAAACCGCATGAATACACACACAAACATCCCATCCAACAACAACAACAACAACAACAACAACAACAACAACAACAACAACAACAACAACAACAACAACAACAACAACAACAACAACAACAACAACAACAACAACAACAACAACAACAACAACAACAACAACAACAACAACAACAACAACAACAACAACAACAACAACAACAACAACAACAACAACAACAACAACAACAACAACAACAACAACAACAACAACAACAACAACAACAACAACAACAACAACAACAACAACAACAACAACAACAACAACAACAACAACAACAACAACAACAACAACAACAACAACAACAACAACAACAACAACAACAACAACAACAACAACAACAACAACAACAACAACAACAACACACGCACGTCCTTACTTTCGCACTTCGTTGGGCACCCATGGAGTCGGTCTTGGAGCCAGTCGCACTGCTTATTCTGCTACGCCTGGCACGGGTGTCGTTACCTCCTGGTTTGGATGGCTGGCGTCATGTTGATATGTATAGCTTGGACTCCCTTCACGAGATAGTTTCTGCACCTGGTGTGGATGATGACGTTCTGGCAGCCATACACGCAACAATGCCGCAGATGATAGAGGGATACACTCGCTGGCAGAATTTGGAAAAGTTTGCCCCGGCTCTTCGAGACGCGTGGGCGAGCCATCAGCGCCGCACTCCTGTGCCTCATGAAGCAGTAGCGGCAGGCATTGCTGTTTTGCACGGGCGGCTTCTTCGTCGTCACCTCCGATTGCAGCGGGAGTCCGTGGGGCAATCCACCCCAGTGGTGGCGGCTCCGCGCAGATGGCGCCGAGGAGTGTTAGATCCTCCTCCGGGCAGCTATGTTGATATGCCGGTGGAGGACGTGGACCCTGTGGATATTCAGATGTTGGATGTTTTCTACCACATGTGGCAAACTTCTCTGCTGGAATCTAGCCAAGGCCTAGAAGCCGCCACTGCGCTGGATATCCCGAACTGGGCTCTTCGCTTGTTTGCAAACGGCTTCAGGTGGTCGCCAGCTCGTGTTGCTGCCCTGCGTGAAGCTTTGGAAAGAGATTCCATTCGTGATCCGGAGCCTGCGCAGCAAGAGCCACGCGATGCAGCTGAGACTCCTGTTTCTTTTCCTGCGCCGCGGCGGCGGGTGTATAAGTATGGCGTGTGCGAGAGATGCCATGCCCGCATGCAGCCTGTTGTGCATGCTTCAGGTGCTTCCTGGGCCACGCCAATTTTGAGATGCAGCAAGTGGTGGCTGAAGGACGTCCAGGGTCGACGCCTCTGCTGGCACAGTCGGCCATTCCGGGCGCAGTGGCGCACTTTGCCCAGAGCACTGCAGCAGAGAATTCGCACTTTGAGAGCTGACATTCGTTGGCAGCTGTCTCACCCTCAGGCTGCCTCAAACTGGTGATTGCTCAGAGTAAAACCTGTCAGTGACCGCTTAGACCTTAGCTTCTTGAAACCAGTGACATCTCCTCCGCAGCCGTTGGCCAGCATGGCTTGTTCGCTCTGTGGCCGAAAAGGCCACTCAGTTTTGACATGTGCGATTCCAGGAGCGAAGGCGCACCGGCGCATGCGCGAGCTCCTCCGGGTGAAGCAGGCGCAGGAAGGCAGAAAGCCACGTCGCCTAGGACTGGGGAGGTTTTGAAAAAAAAGGTACAGCGAATTGTCTTTGTTGTCCGAAAGAAACCGTGTCTCCTCTTATTCTATCTGGCCCTATAGGAGCCCCCACATATGGTGCCTACAAGAAGCAAAGGGCCGAGGAGTACAGCGGTCGAGGGAAGATTCGGAAGGACTTCTTGAAGAGACAAAAGGCAGCTAAGAAGAGCAGCACTCAGATGGCCAATGTGGGTGTGCTGGCTGCTGTGCAAGAACTTCAGGACTTGGGCATTTTGATGAAGAAGCCTGACAACTGTCCGCAGTGCAACTATGGACGTCTCAGTCAGCCAACTGTCAGAACAAAGCAGACTGCCCAGTGCTATTACCGCTGCCTGGACAGCGACTGCGGTGCCCGCACGAATGTATTCAGCTGCTCAGATGTTTTGCCGCAGCGCAAGATGCAGGGTTTGACACCCACGCAGGTCCTTATGGCTGTCAAGGCTTACCGTGCTACCGGCTGCAAGAAGCCACCAAGCCCGCTCCAGCTGGCCCGCTTGACTGGAGCAGGACGCAGGGCCTTGGAGCCTGTGGTGGATGCTCTCATGGATCATGAGGCCTCCCAGGGCAGAGCGTTGTCTGGCCAAGCTGTCTTCACAGGGCAGTGCGAAGCAGATGGCACGTGCCTGCGGACTTTGCGCATTTCTTCCTCTTCCAGGACATTTGCCAATCAAGTTGCTCTGTGGAAGCGGGCTCACACTGGACGAGCGGTGCCGCGCAGGTTCTTGCTCTACGTGCGCTGCTTAGGGGTGACGCAACGGAACTCACAGAAGATGGCAATTGCTCCTGCCCATCTTACATTGGTGCCGTTGCCGTCCAAGCCTCCCAGCGAGAGTGTGCAGGAGATCAAAGACAGCGGCTTGCTGAGGCAGCTCGCCGCGGGCGCCATCGTGTACACTGATGGCTGTGCTTCTTGGAAGACTGCGGGAAAGGCGCTGCCCCGCAAGAGGCTGCACTTCCGCAAAGTCGTGCACAGCAAGAGTGAGTGGACCAAGGTCACACGTGTGAATCTGCGGGCTCGCAGAGCGGGCACGCAGCAGATTGATCGCTGCTGGCATCACTTGAAAAAATTCATGCCCAGTGAGATGAAGAGCCGCGGTCCCAGCGGCCTGATCAACAGTCGCCTGTGGACGAGAGCATACCAATTCTTGTATAGACGGTCTTTGTGTGCCTGACATATTAAACATGTGGTCTCTGTGGCAAAGAGATAAAACAAGCAGTGCCGGAAGCCAGCATGTCAATGCATGAAAGCTGCTGTTAGACACAAACGAACTTTTTGGCACCTTGCGGATTGCTCCTTCAGCAGATTTGAATGGTAAACGCGCGTTTTTGCGCGGGTCCTGCTGAGCGTGCGACCTTGTTTTTGATCTTATTCTGGTTTGGAAACATGGGAAACCCATGGTTGATCTTATTGTGATTTGGTGAGTGGTTGAAATCCAAGCACTGAACTGCTAGAAGTTATTTTTGTTTGCTCCCCAAACCCAACGTGAACCAAGTTAATTGGTGGGGGGTAAAGGTTTGGGGTTGAAGTTTGTTGAGGGTCGACGGGGGAATTTGGGCAACGGATCTTTAGACTGAACCACTTTTTGGGTGAAATCAAGCTAAACCCACAAAAGTTGAACTTTTTGCAGAGGGGTCAACAGCAACCAAGCCTTTTCCTGTTGAAAGTTTTCCACGAAACCCCCGATAAGTGAAACTTGTTGCGGGGGGATCAACAGCAACCAAGGTCTTCGACGTGTCCATCCAGGAGAGCGGGGGGCAGTGGAGGTTTCCATTTAACCCAATACAAGTTAAACTTTTAGCAGGGGATCTGAGGGCAGTGATCAGAAGATCCGCGAGTCGGTCTGATTTGAAGGGAAACCTTTCCTGGCAAGGTGGTGTGTTTGTCCCTTTTTCGGGACCACTTGATGGAACCAACTACTCCACACATTCGCAAGCGAGATCGAAGCCCCCCCAAAGAGCGACCCCGACCCCAATCCATGTTCGTCCTGGGTGAAACAGTGTCTCTCACAGCATTTGGTGAGAGACATGTGATGGCCTTGGTTTAGCGGGATACCCAGCCCAAAAACAAGCAGAACGAACAAGACAACCCAAAAGGAAGGACAACCGGCCAAGCCAAGGCCGAACCCTACTTGAACCCTACTTGGCCACAAAAGCTCTGCTGCGCATGCAAGATGCCTCATTTACTTGGGGTCTTGTGTGCTGCACCTACCGGTACTGTATTTGTACATGAGTCGGCATGAGTATCTCGAAATGGGATTTGGAGCAGAAGAAAACGATATTCCTTTCGGCTTCCCTTTCGGACCTCAAAAAGGGCACCCTCAACAACCTAAACACAAATATGTGGATTTGCTGTTGCCACTTTGCAGAGGAATGCCCAGTCAGTCGCGAGTCGCAAGAGTGTGTCGCGGAGAGGGCCCTGCGTTCTAGGGATCCTTACATTTCTTGGCTTGCTTTGGATGAATGGTTGGCGTTGCATGCGGCGTGGCGACGTGCAAAAGTTTGCATCCTTATGGCTGAGAAAGCAAAGGGCGAAGGGCCCTTGGTAGGGGTGGAATTTTACGGGAGAAGATCCGGAACCCATTGCTGGCTGGTTCTCAGCAGGGAATCAAAGAACCTATAAGCTATCCAACCGGATGGTTTCCTTTAAGGGGATTCCCGTTCGTTCCCTAAAACCCTGGGTCCTTCCCAATGGAATGACCTCAATAAACCATCCAACTGGTGGTTTCCTTTAAGGGGATTCCGGTTCATTCCCAAACTTCCTGTTGGTTCCCTACTGAGAACCAGCAAGATAACCAGGAAACCAGCCCTTCTTTATTTTCCTTTAAGGGGATCCCCTTCCGGTTCATTCCCTAGAATGTTGGGTCCTTCCACCCCTATGAACCATCCAACCTGTGTGGTTTCCTTTAAGGGGATCTTTTTTTCGGTTCATTCCCTAGAACCCTGCCGTGCTTCCCTACTAAAAACCTGCCACAGGACATGTTCACGGCCTTCTGCGCGGGCGGAACTCTGGTGATCGCCGAGCCCCAGGCTCACAAGGACGCGGGGGCCATTTGCGAGCTGATCGCCGCCAGGGCTGTGAACTGCGCATGCGCCTCGCTGGGAGCATAGGGAATTCGCTTCCCCAGAATTCGCGGGGTCCCGTTTTGGTGTTTTCCGCTTTTTTGAGGTCCAACTTGGTTTTCCATTGACCAGGCAAAAAAAAAAAGCGGGGGTCCTGATTCCAGCCTAGAAGGCGTCAGCTTGTTTCGGAAACCCCAGATGTTTTGAGGAGAGCTCCTGGGTTTAAGTTTACCTTGGGGTAGTGAAGGTATGAATATGGAACGCCGACCATCGCCATGCATTGTGTGTTTCCGCTGTAGGTTCGCCGGGGGGACTGAAGCGGAATTTGGCCCGGTGATGTTGCACAACCATACCCTTTCTCCCCTTCCCCCTCCCCCCATTTGCCTTGGGCGGGTCCGGGAGTTTCGGTCACCCTGACCCATCCCCCATTGCATTGGATTCCCCTCCACTTTGAAGTCTTCTTCAAAGTTGTCATATGTTTTGAGGTATGAAAATGGTTCATGTATCCCGGAGTGGGGCCAAGAAGCAAGTTACTCTGGCCACCTAAGGGGAACCAAAAAGATGTTTGAACAATAGAAGGGGTGAGCTCCGCCTTCTTCGCGGTGAGTAAAACAAAGCACAGCTCCTGTGGAATCCCTTTTAGGAGTCCAAAGGCACCCTGGGCCTATTTGGAGGCGCAGTAGATGTCCATTGCACCCACCAAAACTGTTAATCTTTTTGCAGAGGGGTGACCAGCAACCAAGAAGCCACAAGCATGACAACTCGCCACAGACGAAATCCTGGCTCATTCGCCGAACGCATCCGTGAAACTGTTCAACACCGTGGCGCGGCAATTGCTAAAGTGGGATTCGGGCTGGTTCGGACGGGAGACCAAGATCAAGTCTCAAAAGGTGAACCCTGTTTTGGGGCCCTTCATAAAACTGGACTCGGGAAACCAAGAAGCTCCAATAGGGTACCCAAACTCTTGTCCGTCGCCATCCAAAATTTGACTTGTGGAGCCTAGAGGAAGGCATCCGGATGTTGCGAAGCCTAAGCCCTCCAAATTGCATGGCAGGTTTGTGTCCTTTGGCATTCCAGTAGAACCCTCGAATGTGGGTGCCAAGTTTGCGGGTCTCTGGTCGCAAGGTGGGTATGTGACCCCGAAAGCGGCTGGTTTCCTTGATTCTTGCAGAGGATACCCTCCAACACAGCCACCGAGACACGCCGAAGCGAGGCTTTGTCCCCACCCTGTTGGTGGAGTTCTGCAACTACCTGGATCGCAACCCGGATGAAGCGAAGACGGTACAGAGGCTCGCTTGCAACTGGACCCCGTTGCCCGTGGTTTGAGACGCCGCATGTTGCAATGCGGTAAAATGAGGCGACACCTGCAAGCTTTTTGAGTAGGCAGGCAGAAGGGGAAGAACATACATTTTATGTCATCTATGTAATCTATGTATGTCTATATGTATGCACTTGATCGACCATCATAGGGGAAGCCACCCCCGCTAACCCTCCCGCTGCTTTTTGTATTCTATCGCACCTTTTCCAGAAGCCCGGCTGAGGAAGAGTCTCAAGAGAATCTTGACCATTGGAGAGGCATTGATGACGGCGACGTGCAAACAGATGTTCGCCCACTTTCCGGAGCTCCAAATTCACAACCTCTATGGGCCGACGGAGGCAAGCGTAGGAGTGTCACACTTCATGGTCACCGCACAGAACGCGGAAAAGCTTGGAACCGTGGTCCCCATTGGGAAGCCCTTCCCCTACGCGACTTGGTGAAGACAACGGAGGGTGACGTTGTCTTTTTGGCCGCTTGGTAGGGTCACAGAAAAGTGGAGAGGCGATTTTTTGTGGGTCACAAGCCAGATTGATTGTTCGGGTGGAGCCAAGAAGTGATCTTCGGCTTTTCTTGGGCCTCACTTGACCAAACCCAACCTTTTGACCTTTTGAGGTTCCTTCTTTGGGCCAGTGAGGGGCTCTCTGCTCTTTTTGGTGAGCAAGGGAGTTCCACCAAACCAACTAGAAAGCTAAGAAGCTAGGGGGATGGCTGGGAGCCACCCAGTGTTTTTTTCGTTTTTCTTTTCTTAAATCTGCGGGTTGGTCCAAGCCCCGGCGGGTTTTGCCGTGTTTGCTCTATTCGGTTTCGCTTTGAGCCGGCGAGGTGAGCTTCTGCGTCTTTGATCCCAGCAAGTACGAAGGGCAAGCGATCAAGGAGGAGCTTTTGGCCCCTGTTGCGCCGGGAGGGGTAGGCGAGCTCTTCATCGGGGGCGACTGCCTGGCTACGGGGTACATCAAGAATCCCGAGAAGACACAGGTGGGTGGGGTGGGTTCTTGGGAATCATAGGGAACCACTCATAGGAAACCATAGCAAACCATAAGGAACAGGGAGCCATCATCCCACTTTTTGTAACAATAGGAACACCACACTTGCCTGAGAAGGTGAAACCGAAAAGCCACCGGAGCGGGGGATGCAAATCTTGGCAGGGAGAAAGCCACAGACGCGTGGTCTCAGCCACCAGAAAGCCACCTTTTCCGTGCGGAAACGCCCGCTCCGCGATGCTTGCTCTGCACAAGCCCAAATAGAACCAAAGCTTGTTTCAGGCCCAAGCCTGAAACCCGCCAAAACCAGCCAGGCCAACAAGAAATACACACAAAAATAAAAGAAACACTCCCACCCAACAAAGTCAACAGACCCCCTTTAAGCCCCCCTCCCCAAAAACAGAACACGGCACTCCCGCCGAAGGAAAAAAACACACGCAGGCCGCAGGCCGCACGCCGCCTGCCTCAGGCGGCCTTCTTCGACTTCGCGCTCTGCCCGCGGCCAAGCACCGCGGCCTCACCCTTCACGCTGTACAAGACGGGGGACCTGTGCAAGGCCGGGGACGTCTGATTCTTTAAGAAACGAATCCGGACATATCCGTTTTTCAGGGTCCCCACGGGATAGGTAAAAATATGTGTTGTAAAAACGGGGTCTGCTGAGGGAACTCGTTTTGGGGTTACTTTAAAGGGAAGCCGAGGGGGAAAAAAACAAAAACGTTTTGCGAAGCCCCGACACCCATTCGGGTCCTTAAGAAATCACCTTCATCAGTTGCTTCAGCGAAAATGTGGTTTGTCCACATTGGGAGTTCCGAAAAAGGGATGGCAAAGACACCCGGGCATTTGTTTCAGCTGTTCTTGGGGTTGGGCTTCCTTGAAAATAACTCTCTCCTGCTGTCTGAGGGCACCCGCTATCTGCGGGAATTCTCATGCAAACACACTGGTGACATCAGGAAGCCCAAAAGCAGCACAAGACACAGCAGGCGTCAACCAAAATGTGGTTAACTTGTCTTGGAAATCCATGAGAGGCCGAGGGGGAGACCTACCACTACCTGGGCCGCAACGACTTTCAGGCATTCTTGGGGGGGGGGGTACAGTGCGGAGAATGGGGGGGCTGGGCTACAGAACTGTATTGCTTAAATCCTTTAAGGCCGTGGTGGACACTTAGGCTGTATTCTGCAGCGGCCAGAATACCATCCCCAAGGGTTGTCGTTTGAGTATCGTTCCGGGCTTTCGGGCATATGGGGGGGGTTGAAAGGGTCTCAAGCGGCAATGCATGGGGCGTTAATGTATCCGCCTTACTGGACCCCAGTATATAAAGCGGCTCCTTCCAGTTCCAAAACACGCACCAAAGCTTGCAGATAAGCCAAGTAAAACAAGCACTGGGGGTTGTTGGCTAATCCCAAGAGAACAAGAACAGGGCATTGTAATGCCCATTTCCTGTAGAGCCTGAACCTATCGCGGGTTTTGGGGCACGTTTGCTGGCTTCCAATGTTTCTCGTTGGTTTCAAGCAGGTTGGGCTGGCCGCAACCTTCGGTTTCGATTTCAAAGGGACCAGGAGACCTTTTGAATAAACGTTGCCTGAGAAAACAAACCCTAGACCTCGAAAATCCTGTGCACCCTCCATGTCCTTGTTGCCTTGGCCCGGGGCATTGCATTGAGATTTGTGTTATGATTGGAGGTCAAGAGGAAACTCAAAGCGACCCCCCCCCAAAAAAAATTTCGAGTCCCCGGGCCAAACCGAAACTTTTTGGACAAACTCAGATGGAGGCTTCCGAAATGGTGGCCGGTCTTTTGGCTTGTGTTTGAAGGGAAACCGAAAGAATACCAATCGTCTCAGGGAGAAGCTGTGTTTTTTTACCACATACTCAGGTGATGCATTTTAGTAGGGAACCACCTGCAAAGAGATTGGTGGACATGAATCAGGGTAACCCAATGAGTTTCCTTTTGGTTCCCTTTGACACAACCCCAACAAATGAACGGGCCCCCATCAACTTCAGCTGGTAAAGAGAACCTTGCCAAGACAACCACGGCACAACCTCAAATCTTTCTTAATTGGTGGTTTAACCACCCATTTCACCAGCAAAACCCGCCAATTCGTGGGAAGCGGACCTGAATTGGTGGCGTGGATTGGTGGTTTCCAAGATTCAAATGGTTGGAGCTACCCCTAAGGCCACGAAAAAACCGCCCCCAAACCAAATGGTTGGAGGTACCCGTAAGGCACAAAAAAACCCTCCCCTCAAGCGTGGTTTCCAAGCCAAATGGTTGGAGGTACCCCTAACAGTCCCCAAACCAAATGGTTGGAGGTACCCCTAAGGCACGAAAACCCCCTGCCCCCAAGTCGTGGTTTCCAAGCCAAATGGTTGGAGGTACCCCTAAGGCCACAAAAAAACCCAAACCAAACGGGTTGGAGGTTCCCCCCTAGGTAAGGCAAAAAACCGGCGCCCCCTGTCGTGTGGGAAGCTGCCAGGTGAAGATCTCGGGTGTGCGTGTGGAGTGCGAGGAGGTCTCCGCGGTGCTCAAGACGCACCCGGTGGTGGGGGATGCGCTGGTCACCGCCTTCGAGAGCCCCTTCGGCAAGGCGCGCGAGGGATTGGAGCGGTTTGGGGTGGGGTGGGGGTGGAGGTGGGGTGGTGGGGTGGGGAAAGGGTTGGGGGTGGGCAAAGGGTTGGGGGGTGGTGGGGGCGCTGGGCATATCGGCCCGACTTTTTGGCCAGGACATAGGTTGAACCCCATGGTATGTGTATGATATGAGCCCTCCCACTAGAGCTGGGCAAAAGTATAGATAGCGCAGATCCTGCTGGCGCAGTCCTCTACCCCAAAGCCCACTGTGCCATCTACTTTCGCGTACTACCGTGGATGGACGAAATCCCTGAAATGGTTTGATTCCGGTGCAAATACCAACAAACGGTGTGATGTCCCGTGGTCAAGGATTTTGTCCACCCAACTCGGCTCTTTTCCGGTGCCATTTTGGCACCCCAGCCGGTCATGGCCACCCCGCGAGGCCCTCGCTGCGTATGTGGTCACCAAGGAGCGGCGCTAGCCGTCCGGTTTGGTGGGTGCAGATCTTTGGTGGTTGGGGTAGGTGAACCAGGCGATTGGATCGGCTTGGATCGGGCAAGTGATTGGATAGGAACCGGTTCTCCGAGCAAGGCCTGCCAAAAGGTTGCTGGAAAACCACAACAACGAAAGAGGATCATGTTGAGGATGTCTCACTATCATGGGTCCAGGTTGGGACCTGGGGATGTGAGCCCCAAGTCATGGAACAGCTTCAAACCAATCCAAAGCAAGGGCGCAGTGCTCATAGGCCCGGTCAAAGAGCCTCTAATGGGGCGCTGCTTTCCTGGTCATCGAGCCTCTCAAGGGATGCAAGTAAAGATTCCCGGGCACCTGCCATCACAGGCAAGCAACCGTGACAATGAGTTGCACGAGTGGACTTGGAAGCAAGATGGGAGTGTGGGTGTAGTTGGGTGGAGTTGGGTGGAGTTGGGTGGAGTTGGAGAGTAGGGTGAAAGGAGTGTCCTGTTTTTGGGGAAGTGAAGGCTACGGCTGCCCAAGCCATTCCCCACTTTTCTCATATCGAGCCGCTGGGTCCTTTGCAACCGCGAGGAGAACGTGGACTGGTCCGCGCAGGACGAAACAGGGGGCGAGGATGAAATTTTGAATGTAAACAGCTGGGGCGCCGTGTACGATGAGATGTACAAGGAGACCGACAACAGCGTCTCGACGGAGGACCTTGGGCTGGAAAGGGCAGCACGCAAGTCGCAGTGGCATGCAAAGACAAGCCCTCAATCACGCTTCCGCGCATTTTGCAAGTGGAAAGTACTCACTTGGACTTTAGTTGGATGGTTGGCGAATCTCACTTCTCGGTTCCGGCTTGATAACGGTGAGGGACGGACCTCTGAGAGCCTGGCCCAGATGTTTGCCACGACCGCCCGATACCTGCCCGCAGGATCCTACTTTGAATTGGAGCGGGTACACAGACACCTACTCGAGGCCGGGCCAGGCTTTTCAATTTCAAGGGGGGCAGGAAGCCCGACTATCAAAGAACAGGAAGCACCCTTTTGCACGCCCTCTCCCCCTGACTGCATGATTCTGCCTAATGTATGGCGAGCTCATGACAAAGATCCTTAGGGATTCTTTATTTCAGGTTTTGGACATACGGTGCACTTTGCAGAATTCGTTGAAACCACCTCCGGAACACCTCCAAACCACCGAGTCGGCTCCCAGAATCCACCCTGTTTCAGGGAAAAGCGGATGGTTCTTGGCAGTCATCCCACCCTCCAGGCGGCCCCACATCGAGCCGGTGATCAAGGAATGGGTGGAGTGGAGCTGCGAGCAGGTAGCGGCCCACAAGGCGCAGTCAACCAGCTTTGCGTGGGGCGTGTGGCTTCGTGTGGCTTCCCAGGTGTTTGGAGTCCGTTTCCGTAGGTCCGTGGGTCGTGCTGTGGTTCCTTTTGGAGGAGCCCATGATTTTGGTATCAAAGTGAGTTTCCTCGTAAAGTCCTTGGGGGGTTTGGGTCGTACTTTGGTTCTTTTTGGAAGGCGTTCAAAGTTCCTTGAAGGTCCCTTGAAGTTTAGGTTTTCCAAGAAGCGAGCGCCCTTCTTCGGTGATCCCTTTTTTGGGGGAGTCCCTCTCTCAGCACCAGGATTTGCTGAGCGCTAGCGAGGTGCCCACCATCACCGCGCCTCGGCGCGTGTGTGTGTGTGTGTGCGTGTTTGTGTTTTTTTCTCGTGTTTGTGCTTCCCCTTTTTTCCTTTTTTATCATTTGTTCTTTCTCCTTTTTAGTTTCCTTTTTTCTTATTCCTTTTCGTTACCTTTTTTTATTTTTCCTGTTTTCTCTTTTTCCTTTTGTTTATTGTGTTTCTTTTCTTTTTCGTTGTTTTGTCAGTTGTTGATGATTTTTTCCGGCGGGATTGCTCTGGGGGTCTGTTTTGACCCAAAAAAGGACCCGAAACGAGTTCCATTTCTTAGACCACATGCCTTGGAACCCCAAGAAGATCCAACTGAGCCCATGATATTAACTGTTTCAAGGGGGTTGTGAAAGCCATTGAACCTTCCAGTCGGGGGTGGCTTCCACAGTAAAATCATTGGGCCATGACTTTGGCCTTTTGTTTGGGCGCAAGTCGTCGGTCCATCGAGCAGATGCCTTGTTGACACGCTCATGGTTGGAGCACCTCTCCTCTCCGTACCCATGTGAACCGCAAAAAGAGGGACAGCGCCCAAGGACCTAACGCGGAAGGAATTAGATTCACGGACAAAATAAAAGATGATAGTTAAAGTGTGAACCGTGGCAACGGTTTTGTCTTTTGTTTGACCCGGATGGCAATGCAAAGGGGGCGGTGGTAGAATGCAGTGCAATATCATTGTTGGGGGTGAGTAAAAGTTGATGGTGTTGGAAAACGTCTCCTTCAAACATTGCTATTTGGAAGGCACGTTATTGCCCAGCAAAAGTGAAGTCATCATATCCCAGAATATCTTATCCCAGAACTCTTCTTCGGCAGAGCGAATGTCATGATTCGCCCAATGTCAGCGGTGACAGCCGATACATCCGACTTGAGCACTGATGTTCAGCCTTGCCCTACAGCGGAATCCAACATCCAACTAAAAACAATGCAAGTCAACCAGGCAAAATGGTGAGTTTGCCTTGTTCCCCTGCAACAAGGTTTGGCTGTGGGTCAAAAATAGGTGCCCAACATGGAACCATGGTAAATGGAAACATGGACTAAAACCTGCCATCCCTGGCGATTTAATTTTGACCCATACACATTTGGAGACTCAATTTTGGTTCATCACAAGTAGGCTGGACAGAAGGGAGCCATCAACCGGGCTGTCGGAACATAGGTTCCGAGCTGGTGCAAGACACACAGAAACAGAGCTTTCTGCTGGGGTTCGGGTCGCGAGACCCGAAGCCGAGCATTTCTTTTCCAAGGGCGTGTGTTTGTTTTGAATTCCGACCCACCATTTGGTAGGTGTTCCTTTTTGGCTTCCTTTTAGACCAACCAAAAATGGGGTACCCCAAGAAAGATACACCCATATATAGGAGCTGGTTTCCCTTGAGTGGCAAAAAAGCACAGGTCTTCCCAAGGATTGAGGTCTGGGTTTGTGGCGCCCCCAATTCACATATCGCGAAGGGAAATCCTCCCACCATAGGTGTCCTTGCTTAAAAAATAGAGGCCCCTGGTTTAGACACGGTTTATTCCATTTACCAGCGGAACCCATCTATTTGTCCAAAAGGCCACCTATGCCTCCCCCCCAAAGCGGAGTTCGTTCCTTCCCCGACGAAAAAATCCGCTGGACTCCGCAAAGCCGCGAATGGGCGACTCCGGGGTCTCAGGAGCTGGGCTGCGGCAACGGGATGCTGCTCTTCCGCCTGGCGCCGCTTCTGGGCCCTCAGGTGCTGGAGACGGTCGATTTTACCTTGGGGGATTTGGACGGAGACCCCGAAAAATGACTTGCGATCGGTGCGAGAGATGGGAATGAGAAATGGAATGAAGCCAGGAAAAACCGTCCCCGATTTGGTGTCCTTGAAGGAACAGGTTCATTCTCTCATTCCCTCCTGAGCACCAGCAAGATGGTTTCCCACAAATCGTCTCTTTTTTGGGGGTAAGTTAACTCCCTGGCTTTCGCTTTGGCTTGCCGAAAATGGGTTCGCGTTCCTTTGGCGCCCAGGGAAACCTCTCAGAATGGGTTCGGGTTTGCCATTGACTAGAGTCCCTTCAAACCAACCCCGAGCTTTAGCTTTAGCCTCAAAAAACGACATAACATACCCACTTCGACCTTGATCCAGTGCGGCTGAAGCGGGTCGATTGGAAGGGACGGGTGCTGGTGGTCCCATTTGAAGCGCCGGACCTTGTTCACTTTCTGGTTTGAGCAGAACTTGCAGATTTCTAGGGGTGCCTTCCCCATCCTTTCCAGGGATCCTTCTTTCAGGAAAGCATCAACATCTTAGGGGAAGCATCTGGTTTTTGACAACAAATGGTTGAAAAGAACGGGGAATCAACCCCCAGAAGTGGTGTTTCCCAGGTCCTTGAGATTGTCCAATAGGGTGGTGTGCTCTCTTCCTATGGAAGTGGACAGAAAAGTGTATACTGAAAAGGGCTGATTGTTGGACGAGCGTAACTACCACCTTTTGGTTTTCTGGGGTGGTTTAAATGCAACGTCACTTGAGATGCCACTAGGGATGGTAAAGACCAGTGATTTCCGGAGGTTTGGGTCGGGACGGTCCCAAAAACTCCGCCTCCACTTGCCGGCCGCTGATTTTCTCGGAAAAAAACAGATTTGATGGCTTTGGGATCAAGTTTGCTGGGCCACTTTTGCTGAGCGAGGGAGGTGGTTCAAGGGCAACCCATGTTGTATACTTGTTTTTTTTGTTTTTGTTTCCTTTGCGAAGGGTTCGACCATTCGAAGCCCAGAGGAAACAGGTTCCAATGCAGCTTCCCTCTCTTTCAAGTGCTTCAATCGCTGCAAAAGATCGCGCGACGTTGGATGGACAGCTGAAGATTGACGGTTCCCGGGTGTCCAGTTTTTGACTCAAAGCGCTTTTCGGCCTAGAAAGCTGCAGCAACGCCTGCATGGATGACCCCAAAAACCTCCTGGCGGTCTTTTTTCCAGTGGCACCACCCATGCCCCCCGAAGCCCTCAGCGTCACCCCACTGGCAGGGCCGGTACATTGGCACGGACATCTCCTCGCGGGCCCTCGAGACGGTGGCGGAGATGCAGAGGTCTTGGAGTTAGATGGCTGGGGTTACCAGTTTCAGGGGTGTACAGGGGGTGGCTGGGGGTTGCCAACCACTAAGCTAACTTCCCGGTGACAAGAAGGGATTCGGCAGGAGAACATGCCATGGAACCTGGGTGTGTCTTGAAACAGTACACCCCTTTGGCTTAAAAAACCAGGTGTCTCGGATTCCCTTTAGAACTACCCAAAAAAGCACGGTACCCTCAAGAAAGTCGAGCCTATCTTTAGAAAGCACTCTGATCCTACCAACGAACACCTCGAGTTTGGGCACCCAGTTTCCCCGTTGGGATGGCCGCCCCAACCTCTCAAGGCTAAGCCACCCACATATGCCGCCCGGCCCGAAATGGGCGTGTGTACTGTTTTCTGCGGGTACCCTTTTCGAAGGATGTTTTTTTGAAGGAAGGCCAAAGGGAACCCGCAATAGAGGCACACCCAAACCGAAGAGCCATGCGTGAGATTCTGTGGGTTGCCAGGTATGCCAAACAGGTTGTGTTACAATCCACTAACGGGGTCTCTGGTTTTGGGGCGTAGCCATTTGGAGGACCTTTTGTCAAGCTCCGCTTGAACCACAACAATCAAGGCAGCAGATGATTATACAGAGGCAGTCCCCACCATGCGTGCGGCAAGAACTGCCCTGTTGATTCTTTATCACGAACTGTATCTGTTTTGCGCGGTCAGCCTGTGAATATCTGCAGGGAGCCAGATCTGGACTCACCGTAAGGTCGACGAAAAAGCACGGGGTGGTGAATTTCCCCACCACAAAAAAGAGAAAAAACGTGTCTAAGTCTACCTTAAAGGACTGCAGTCTTCCAAAAGCTTCCGATCAGATTCCAGTGTCAAGAGGGCAATCAGACCACATGTAGTGCAATATGTGTTCGGAGTCCACTTGTAATCGATAGCCCCAGATGTAGGCCCCAAGAACCCCTGACCTTTGCAGGAGCCTGCCGCAGTACCAGCACCTGCACGTGGACACCAAGACTCTGGCAGCCCATGAGATCCTGGACGTGTGCAAAGAGAGGGAGAATGATATCGCCGGGAGTCCCAGTAACAAGTGGTTTGGTCGTTTCCGAAAATCGGGAAGCATGGGTTTGATATGGGATATACTGATTTGCAGCCAGAGGATGGTAGCAGATGAGCTGAAGAGACAGTTCATGTTCTGTTGGGACTTGCTGCAAGCTTTCCTTGAAGCTTTAGGGCCACGTTGAACAAAACAGGGGCTTTGCGCCTTTTCGATTTGGCTTTTGCATCCCAGCAAAAGCCCACCCTGCCCCTCTTTACTAAGAAGCATGTCTCACTCACTTGAGTGGATTGGCGAAAGAAAGGAACCAAGCTGCGTGTTTGCCGTTCAAGTCCAAGCCCAAAAGGCGACAAAGTCAGAGAGTGAGTGCCACTGAGACAAACAACCTCTCGCGTGAAGAAGCGGGGTATATATATACCATATACCCTCGAATGTTGCGTCTTTAGATTGGCTGTTTCTGTGTTTCATTCCTGCACGCCCAGCCTGGGTTCCAAAGGTTGATCCCCTTACAGGGATGTAGGTGATTTGTTGCTGAGGTGCCTTTTTCAGGGAAGCCAAAAGGGCAACCACAATTGTTGTGTGTCCCCCTATTTGACACATACTCATGTGCCCATGGTCAGAACACTTGGGGCAACCCTCTTTTTTTGTAATTGAGACCTGCGCTTGGTGGACCGATTGACGGAGTTCATGCACACATGGCTTTGGGTACCTTCCTCCACCTTCCCAGAAAACCAAGTGGGGCGCCAAAGGGTGTTGCTTTTCCCTGTTTTGGAGGGGCTCGCCAAGCCAACATTCCGACGACCTCTCCATCCAATTTACCAAAAGGCAAATGACTTCTGCCTGGCGAGGTGTACCAAACGAATTTCCACGCGTCCTGGCTTCTGGTTTCTTGGGGTTTGCATCTTCGGGGCGGACTGGAACTTGGTCATTTTGTGGGCTGTGTGTGTGTGTGTGTCTTTTTGTCGGATAGATACGCCCCAAGATGTATTTGTTTCCTTTTGGTTTCCCTTGAAAGAGCCACCAGAAAGGGGTGCCGACTCGTTCAAACAACTTCCATTTGCAGAATATTGTTGATTCTCCCCTGTTGGTATTCAAGGGAATCGATTTCACTACTGGACATATACTTTTTATTTTTTCCCAGGGCTCGAAAAACCAAATGGAAGACTTTAGGCACTCCATGTTAGGGGCAAGCAAAAAGTTTGGGTGCCTTTTTTGGGGCCATCCACTTGGAAAGTGAGTAGCCAGCCCCAAAGGGTGCGACAACAAACAAATGACGAGCCGCCCCCGATTTGGGGGGAGATCAGGTGCTCTGCAATGGCGTCACCATGTACTTCCCCAGCGCCAACTACCTGCTGAAGTGCATGCAGCTCTCTGCCGAGGCGCCTCGGCTTGGAAACAAAAACCCGGGGGGGGGGGGGGGGTGAAGTTGGGGTAAATGTTGGGGTTTTGGGGTACATGTGTGTTCATTTTAGGGGGTTTGGGAAGTGTTGGGGTTTTGTTGTGGTAAATTTTAGGGTTTCGGTGTAAATCTTAAGTTTTGGGGTTGTGGGGAAAATGTTGGGGTTTTGGGGTAAGGTTTTGCAGTAAGTTTGTTTGGTTTTGGGGTAAGTGTTGGGGTGCGGGGGTTCATTTTGGGGTTTTGGGGTAAATGTGGGGGGATGTGTTGGGGTCAAAGCGTTTGAGGGGATCCGTCGGATCTTTTGGCGGGGAAACGCCAAGACCACTCTGGCCAGACTTGTTGTGGTCTCCATGTGCACTCTGTGAGCCGTACCGGGTACCGGTGGGGAGGGGGGGGAACCTCCCTTCGAAAAATCGCAGCATGGCAGCCGGAGGTCCCGGCTCCCTTTAGGTTGGTACACCTGACGCGTTGGGCTTCTCTTCCAAAAGGATTAGCCTCCCGCCAATCAACGTGGAACCTGACAGATCCTGGAAGGCAATTTTCCTTGTAAAACGACCCGTCAGGTTCCATGTTAGTTGGTGGGAGGGTACCCCAACAAATCGAAGAACTCCTTTTAGTTCGGCGCCAACCGTGCCCCAACTCATTCTCTATGGCTGCAAAGTGGCCCAACTGACTCCTGGAGGCGAAAGACAAAGCATCCACCTCCTTGCCTCAGGTGATGCTAATTTGTCCCCGCCTATGGAGTTCAAATGGGTTGAACACCCTGAAAGCTGGTTAATTTCAATAGGGAACCGCTAAAGCTGCTGGTGGGCATTGAATTCCCACAGAGTTCAAATGTCCACATCCAGGACCCAGTGAAATTATGAACCATTTGGGAATGCCTTTTTTTGAGGGTACTCCTTTTTTCGGGTGGTCTAAAAAGGAAACCAAGAGGAAAACCCACTCATTTTATGGGTTCCCTAAAAAAGAATTTGATACGGCTATTTGGTTCTTTCTAGCTGAGGCCACGCGGGACGGCGGCTTGGTGGTCTTCGGGGACATCCAGAGCAGGCCGCTCTGAGGGCTCTGCGATGAATAGTTGTGAAATCAAAATCACACCGCGAAAGAAACCATGGGAGTTGAAGCCATAACGTTGGTTCGTATTTGCGTTGGGGAACCGAATCATTCCAGGGGTTCTTAGCTGGTGCGAACGGATTTCATCCCTCCACAGTATGGCAACCTTAGAATGCGAAGCCCTTGGAAACTAAGAACACATATGCAATGTCCATGAATTTGCATTTCAGGAGCCCGCTCAAGCATGACAGGCGGGTATTCCCAAGCGGTCTTTGATTCGGATTGAGGACCTCCCAGGGATACCTCTTTTGGCTTCCGTGGAATCCCCGCAAGGTTGGTCTGTTTGATCAACGGGGTTAGAGCCCAAAGTCAAAGGGGTTTTGGGCGTCTGTGTGCAAAACCCCACGCACCCCCTTCCCCAAACGCACAGCGAAATAAGGGGGGCCGGTGTTAACCAGAAGGCATTCAGGCATCGTCCAAGTTAGCCTCACGTGCCTCACCCAAGGCCTGTGTGTCTTGATAATCACATACCCTGTACTGGACATGATTTGGGTAGGGCTTCATGTCCGCCAACCAATTGGAAGGTGATCAAAATTCACAGCCTAAGACAACCAAACGAGAGAGAAGACACGCCGTTCTGCAGCGCTGCTAAAATTCACCCCCAAATGGGTGCTAAAGAATTGATTGCCGCATGGCAGACTGAAACCCAGGTGGTTGATTTCCCAAAAAGAAATCGAAACGCCTGGGCTTGAGTCTTCTGAGTAGTTCTCCTTGTGCTTTCCCTCCGAACCCACACCGACAGAAAGGAGACACCTAGTGATAAGAAGAGGGCTACTTTGAACCCGGACAACAACGCCATCTCCATTTTTGTGGGTCCAACTCCACCCCGCCCTCCCTCCTCCTCCCTTGGCCTGCGTCGTGGGTGTCGCCGCCAGCACCGGGGTCGCCGGAGCCAGGCGCCACGTGCTGCCCTTCCGCGCGCACGTGGAGACCTACCAGGCGCTGAGGCGCCAGGACGCCACGGCGCTGGCGGTGCTGCAGGCGGCCAAGCAGAGCGTGGCCGGGGAGGAGCGAGGCGATGGCTCGCGCGGGGAGTGGGTGAGGTGAGGGGGTGGGCCAAGTACTGCTTAAACAAGCCGGGAGAAGAAGGGGTGGGAGGGGGGGAATGGGTTTGTCTTAAAACAGGTTTGGGCCACACATGTTTGATGGTTTCTTCTGGGAAACCAAAAGGAGTGTGCTTGACCAACGATTTCAACCTTCAGGGTGGTAAGGTTGACTTTCCAGCTTCTTTTAGAGCAGGGTCAGGGTTTTGGGAGAGCTGGGAAGGTGGGGCAGATGGGGCCTAGAAATCTCCAGGAGCTGTCCTACTTTGATGACAACCTGTTCCACCGCCTGGACCGGGTGGGCAGCAAACTCTTCCAGGACTCGGAACATATGTTGTTGTCATTTTGGAGTTGAGATTCGGTCAAGATATCCGGAGTCGAGGGTCCGAGGGACCAATTTCGACCAAGCCATGTCCACACAGGTTATGGCAAAGTTCGACCGTGGCACAGCGAGTTTCCTTTAACAACTTGCCGTTATTCTTCCAGAAGGGAATCCCTAAATAGTTTCAACAAGCCCTTCCTCCCCGCACCTTGAGCCATCCCCACCCCCTTATAAATGCAATTCTAAATGGAATTGGGGGGAAGGGGGCTGACCCCTGGCGATCTCCATGTATGCTTCCATTTTCCCTTTGGGGAAGACTGGATGAATGGAATTGGGTCGCCTCCCCTCCCCCACCCCACCCTCCCTCCCCCACCCTGCCCCAACCCCCTCCCCCTCTATCCAGCAGACTCGAGGACCGTTTGGCCAAGGTAGAGCTCCGGGTGAAGCGGGGCTGGTGGCACTCGGAGTTCAACCGCTTCAGGTACGACGTGTGGCTGGTGCTGCAGGACGGCTCCGGAGATGTCCGGAGAGTTGTGGGGGGGAAAGGTTGAATCGTCACGCACGCAGCTCACATGGATACATGCATGTTTATATATGTATAGTTATAAGCGCACAAACACACGTGTGACATGCTTATCGCCGCATATCTATACATGTCACAAGGGAAACACCTAATTTTAGCTGAGCCAACACCTGCGCGATGTTTCAACAAGCCCCCTGCAGGAGGGAGACAAGGCCGAGACGGAGGCCAAGAAGGAGCCCAACTTCCGGAGGGTGGAGTACGAGGAGTCGAAATTGTAGCTTCCTGGTTGGTCAAACACGGAAACCAACTGGAAGTCAACCATTTGGGCATGCCTGTTGTTTGGAATCCCCCCCAAATGGCGGCTGTCCTTTTGGTTAAGCCGGTTTCCTCAAAGACAAGACGCACATCCATGTGTATGTGTGTGTGTGCTCCTTTCTTTGTTCTGGGCGCCCTTGGTTGGCTTCAACGGGAAGCCACTCGCGAGCCACCGGAAACCAACCCCACCCCTGATGGCGCTCGCTCGCGAGCGACCTCGACGTCTCAGGAGCTGTGCCGCAGCTTGGGGCTGCAGCGCGGGGACGGCTGCAGCTTCCTGGCGGACCCCCGGCTCAGCGAGCGCCTGCCGAGCTTCGTGGCGCAGCTGCTCAGCGAGGCGGGGGATTCCACTTGCAAGATTGGGGGGTTGGGGGGTTGGGGGGTTGGGGGGGACGAGAGGAGGGGGTGTTGGGCCATGCCTTTTGCGGCCGGATACCCCAAGAAATGCCCCGAAATCACATCTGGATCGCAAGTGCAAAATTGCGGGTGAGACTTGCTTTTGACCAAACCCAGGTGGTCCTTTCAAAGCAAGCAATGCCTGCACAGCTGGGAAAGCCGCCCAAAACTACAGCATTGGAAAATGAAAGTGGGCACTCCCAATGAAGCACGTTCAGGTTGAACAGGAACAAAGTGCGGAAAGACACGGAATTTCATGTTCATTCAAGTCCTTTTTAGCACCCACCTATTAGTCCACCAGGTTAATGAACCCCGGGGTCGGCATAGGAACTAGGGGAAGACAGAGGAACTAGAGGAACCCCTTTGCCAAATTTCTGCCCCAACCCCCCAAACCCCCCAACAGCTCCCAAACCCCTCGACCGCCTCAAGCCCCGAACTCCCCAACCACCCCAACACCCTCGACCCCTCGGAGCTTGGGAGGTGTCAACCGACTTGGACGGCTTCGTGCTGGAGCTGCCGAACGCCCGGACCTTTGCCGCCACCTGGCTGCTGGAGTGGCTGGAGAAGGCCGGATCCATCCGGATCGATCCGGAATCCGGAAGGAGCTGAATGGGCGGCGAGGTGGGTTTTTGGGTGGTGAACGAAAGGGATGCCAAAAGACAAAAGGACACACCCATGTAAACCCGGGTGCTTCCTCTGTTCATTTTATTGGAGTGAAGTTTTCCTTTGAAGCTAAGCGAACGAAGCGACTCGCAACATCCACGACCAAAAGGAGGAGCGGGCTGTCGTATCTCAGGTGGGCTGCAGGTTCCTGGAGTCAAAGCTGAGGGGTCTTTGTTTCTTGGACCACTATTCTTTGGAGAGGAAGTCTTGGGAGTCTAAAAAAATATGTTTCTTTTCCATGGCCACTTTTGGACCCTGTTTTTTGCTGTTGTTGTGTTTGTTTGTTTTTTTTGTTTAATTAACCCGCGCAGCCACTCTTGTAAACAACATCCTTTACTTTTCTTGGAGCCATGGTTTTGTTTAACCCTGGAGCCTTCATGGAATCCTGTTGTAGCTCGGGCCGGGCCCACACATGTTCAATGACTCAATTTGGTTTCAAAGTGCCCCATACCCCCATGAATCACTCCATTTCGGCCTTCTGATTTGCGTGGACCACGCACCAGTGCCCTTCCTTAAGCCCCACGGCCGATTTTTTTTTTGAGGCGGCGGCGGAGAACTTGGAGCTGTCGCGGCTGCCGGGGCTGCTGCACCCCGCGGACGCCTGCTTGTACGAGGACCGGGACGTCTTCGGCGTGGAGCCCGAGCGCCTCGGAAGACACAGGGCATGGAGGTCGAGGATTTTTGGGGGGGGGGCGGAAACCAGAGCCTAACCCATTGCTGAACCCAAAAGGAACCCCCAAAGGAACCCCGAAGGAGCCAAGTGTTTTTGCGGTTTGGGACGCAAGGAGGTTGCACCGATGATGGACTGGCGGTTTTGAGGGTTACCCATTCGAGCAACGGCGTACATGGGAACAGATCAGCCAACCCAACCGCCAGTCCAAACCACCAAACAAGGGCAAGGCTGGCCCCGGTGTGAAACCCAAAGTCCCCGAGCCCCGAGGGCATGTGTCACAAAAGGTGATCGAGGAGGGAGCAACCCAGTGAGTGATGTTCGCACAGGGAAACCAACCCACCAGGCCGGGGTCCAAGGTTTCGTTTTGCCCCTACGTTTCCAAGCACCACACAGGTATGGGTATTTTATTTTTGTTGGGGGGGAGGTATCAGGATGGTTTGAATGGATACGGGTCCTCTATTTTGACTCATGCCTTTAAAAAAGGCCTTGTATGATCTTTCCATCTCTGGCTTCCTCGGGGGGACGGGGTCCCCCCTATTTTTTTTGGAGAAGCCCAATCTTCCGTTAGGGTTTCCCGTTGAACCTGAAGAAACCTCCTCTACATATAACCCCCCAACAGCTCCCGTCTCTCCATGTGAGGCTGCTCTTCACCATGGAGCTGCCAAGCGGCTGGACACAGCGGGTGATCTGGGCCGAGGACCGCCGTACGTGTCGCCTGGCTTCGCCTGGCTTCGCGTCAGCTGGTGTGCGGCGCGTGTCTGCGTCCCTTGTTGGGAAGTCCCACAAGGGGGCACATGGAACAAAGGGACACTGCTGATGATTTTAGTGTGTGTTGTTTTTTGATTGTTTGCTTTTTTTTCTGTGGGGGGAACCGAGATTTTGCCTTGGGGTTCGAGTTGTTTTTTGGGTTCTAGTTGTGTCTCCGACTTGGGGAACCGAGATGGTTCTGTGTTTTTGCTTTGGTTTCCCTGAAAAAGGAGGAACTCCGGTCAAGTGAGACAAGGAGACATGCCGCAAACCGTTGATTACCAAACGAGAAAGTTCTGTCCAGTAGTGAAGTCGATCGATTCCCTTGAGGGGAAATACAAACACGCATATTCTTTCTTTCAGCAATTGGAAGGAATTCCAATAATAAACAAACATATTCATTTCAGCAAATGGAAGGACAAAGTTCCCTGTGTATAGTATGAGTATTACTGTTCTCACGGATGGTTTCAGGTTCAAAGGGTTGGGTTACAGGAAAATCTACAGGAAAACAGCTGATTTCGGGTGTTTTGGGGGCCATTTCCAGTAGATCTTCCTGTAACCAAACCCTTTGGGTGGCTCGAAAAGAGATGCCCAAACGCAGGACCCGGGCTTCCTGCGCTTCGTGGTGCTACGGGAGGAGGCTGCAGCCAGGAGCGAAGCGCGGGCTTTGTTTTTGGCTAGTTTTGGGAGAGGTGAGGCATGGGCTTTGGCGGCCTTTTTTGGGAGGTTGTTCGGATAAGCCGAAGGGAAACCGAAGGGAAGGGAATTGTGAAGGCAAACTGGATTGGGTCTGAGGTGCTGACAAGCACCTTCGATTTTCAATCTGCGCCCTTTTCGGGTCCCGTGGGTCGAGGAAAGCGACTAGGCCCTTCTTAGCCGGCTGTTCCAAGCGGAGGCCCTGGTTGGCGGCGGCCACGGAGGCGGAGCGACGGGAGCTGCCGGAGGATTTGTCGAGCTTCAAGAATCAGCCGGAGGACGTGGAAGTGACCTTCGATCCGCTGAAGGCGAGAGGGGAGGGGAGAGGGAGGTCTGAACGGATCTCTCTATGCAATTTGTTGGGGGGTTGGGTTTGGCTATGTTTGGCTATGTTTGGTTTCTTCAGTGTTGTTTGGGTCGGTTTCCCCCACACCCACGAGGAAGTTGAAGGGAAACCAAAGAGAAAACCACCCGTTTTCATTTGATTGCTCCATGTCAAAGCCCAAACCGAAGTGTTCATGGCAGAGGACATGGTGATATGTTTGCTTGCTGGTGCGACAGGTAGGGAATGACCGTTCCAGTTGTTGGGTTTTCGGGATTCCCGAATAAAGGAAACCACTTGGAGACTTTTCCTCGGGGTCTTTCTTTGGATGGATGAAATCCTGCACCACCTACGAAACCCTGGAATGATGACCTCCCTGTTACGAAACCAACCATGGTTTCAACCATGGGAACTCATCTCGTGGTGCGAGAAGCGGAAACTTCGGCTATCCACAGTTCCATTTGTCATTCCCATCCGCACGAACCCGGTCGAGTGAATCCGTCAGGCGTGCAACGACGTGATGAAGGCTTGGGCCGCGGGCACGTCCTTGCTGCCAGCCATGCGCCCTGCCGTGTACATCCCCCTGGAGGCGAGGGGCAGGGGCTGAACAAGCAGGGAGGAGTGGATCTCAAAAATGGTTCTTGGCTCATGTTTGGTGGATTGAAACTTTGGTTCTATGCATTTTTAGTTGGGGGTTCAAAGAAGCAAGTATTAGCTGCCATGTGGGGTCGGAAAGAGTTGCAATCATTGTCGCCGCCCAAAGCTTGGTTGCGTCTTCCGCACCTCGAAATCGCCTCCAAATCCGCCTTCCCCGAAATGGCGGTCGCCCAAAAACCTGTGCACACGCCAACCCCGCGCGTGTGTATTTTTTTCCCAAACGATTGCTGGTGTCCCCAAAAAGCAGTCCGGGGAACTTTCAAAGTGGCTTTGGTCCCTGGGGGCTTCCCTTCAATTCAAGACCCCCCAAGAACAAATCCTGGTGACCCACCCAAAATCCAAGTGGTCTCCCCTTAAAAGGCCCCCAAAACGAGCGCGCAAAGACCTGCGCAGCACACCGCCCGCCGCGCGAGCCCCGAAAAAGACCCATCCGCGCTTCGAGGCCTTCCCGAAGACCTCGGCGGGCAAGATCGACCGAGCTGCGCTGCCGGACGCCGTGGAAGCCTTTCAAGAGGTGGCTGTTGTCAAATCCAATGGTTCCATTTCGGTTGGTAGGTACACCACCCATAATGTTGACCCACGATTAACAAACCCGTCCCACTAATAGGGGGGGGCTCCCTCCAAAAGTGATGAATCTCCACTAAAAGGGGACACCCCCCGATCAAAATCAACCAGGGGTTTATTCATCCGGGGTTAACATTATTCGCCTACTTTAGTGCTTGGATTGGCCAGGTCTCCGTGGTGACCGAGGCCTACGCGGCCCCGGAGACCGAGGAGGAGAGGCGCGGCGGCGCGGCGGGTGTCGCGTCAGTGTCGGTGTTCGGTGTTCGGTGTTCGGTGTTCGGTGTTCGGTTTGGGCGGGTGCAACTGGGACTCCTTGAAAAGGGCTGTGGTTTTTTGAGGTGAAGGGTCCTTTTTTGGGGGAGGTTAAGGGCTTGTTGGCTGTGTTTTTGGGAAAAGGGTAGCCTTTGTGGAGAGTTTAAAGGTATCCAAGGGGGGGTCCCTATATTGACACCTACGCATTTTGCAACAACGGAAGCTGCCCTTTTCATGGCAACCTCACCGGAAGGTAAAACAAGCTTCGCAAGAAGATCCTGACCTCGGGACTTCTACACATACTTCCGAGCTGGTGTCCATTTAAACAATCATTCAGAGAGTAATTACAAGGATGCCACTTTACCCAACGTCGCAGAGGGCTTTTAAAGCTGCGTGGAGTAAACCCACTTTGCGGTAAAAGGGAATCCGCCAGTTCTTTTGGTTTCTTGGAAAAACAACAAACAGCCCAGCCCAAGTTTGTTGTTTATCAAACCCCTAGAGGTGTCTTTGTTGAAAACCCATTTTAACACAAACATAAAGTATAGTCGGAAAAACTACCAAGCCAGTAAAAGAATCAACCCGCCCCCCCAAGTCTTGCTCTTTTAAAGCAAGGAGTCAAAAGGTTCCCTGGTGTTCCTCGTTTTCTCTAGGCGCATGGTGGAGATCTGGGAGAAGGTGCTGAAATCCCCGGGCCAGGTGGGGGTCAGGACAGCGATGCGGAAATGTTCGGTCTCAGCGAAGCCGATTTTGGGCACCGTCCCAAGGCTCGTCTCGTGGAAGCCAGAAATTGGCATACGGCATACTGCCAGGGCAATCAACTTTTTCCGAAACGAACACCTAGGGGCGGTACTGGTTTGGATTGGTGGTTTGGAGTTGGATTTGAAGCCGGGACTCTTGTAGATGCCAAATTGGAAAGCACCCCGGAACACCTCCAAATCACCAATTAGGGGGAAGCCGAAACAAAGGTTGACTTTAAGCAACTTGTGAGGCGGTTCCCTATTGAAATTCCTAGCATCAGCTTCCATCCTGTGGTAAGCAATAGATGTTGAAGCCGTGATTAAGACAATAGATCTTAATGCCATGGTTTGAGACAATAGACGTGAAAAACCCATAGTTTCACACAAAAGATCTTAAAGCCCATGTTTCAACACAATAGATGTTAGAACCCGTGGTTGAACAGAATAGATGTTAAAACCCATGGCTTAACGCAATACATATGGTAAGCTGACAGGTCTTCAAACCCATGGTTTAAGACAATACATCGTAAACCTTATGGATCAACACAACAGGTCTTGGTCGTAACATAATTTACCGTATCAGGACCCCCTTCGTGGCCTATGGTGGCCATTCCCTGACTGCGGTGCAGCTGCGGCTCGGTTAAAACGGGTCCCAGCCATCCTGTTAGCTTTTTAGAGTTTTAGGGTTTCGTGGGGGTTTCCACATAACCCACTAAAAGTTAAACTTTTAGCAGGGGATCTGAGGACAGCCGCAGTTTCTCTTTGAGGGGCAAGGGGGGGCTCACTTAGAAAATGACACCAGCATAGATATGGGAGTGACCGGAATGGCACATGTTTCTGTCGCGACTCCACCAGTTGGGAAGTATGGGAGCCGGATCGTAATGGTTTCGTGACTTGTTCTGCCATTGGTCATTGGAAAGGCATCCCTTGTACGTAGTGATATCAGATAGCTCAAAGATGGAGTTCCTTGACATGAAGCAGGCAAACCCACTGCCCAGGTTCTTCTTCCATTTCCGGGGTGGGGTTGCAACGGGCGCACAACCCCCGTGTTCAGCCCCTCTGAAAAAGATGTGCTTGGACTGATTTGCTTGTTTGTGGCGGAGGGCAAAACGTGCCAACTGCATTCTCTTGACTTGGCCCTGAGGTACCGCACAAACCCGCGTGAGGTCAAAAAGAGCAGGTCGCCACCAAAATGGGCTTTGGTCTCCCAGACTGTTCGAGGCTTGGGCACCTGACAATTTAACAACCACCAACAACAGTCCTGCAGACCGCTGGTGAGGTCAAGCAAAAGAAGCTGGAGCAAAGCCCCACAGACTACGACCAGCCCATCAAAACAACCAAAAAAAAAGAAGCTGTGTCTGCCTTTTTTGCGGGTCCCCAATTTGGGGTTGGCATTTGTTTGTTTTTGGCGGGGCAACCCAAAAAAGGAACCGAAGCCCACCCACCCGACGAGCGCTTCCGATGCGGCGCGAGGTGCTCCGGGATCAGCGGCGCCTTTGGGCAGCGCCCGGATCTGGCCTTCCTCATGTCCATTCCTCAGAATTAGCTCCCCTTTTTTGTTTTTAATTATTTGTTGGCCCCTTTTTGTTTGTTTTTTGGCTTTTTTGGGGTCCCTTTGTTTTCCACCAACCAGGCAAAAAAGATATATGTATTTCTTGCTGGGGACCTAATTCCAGCCTAGGTCTGAGGACTGCACCGTGCGGGCGCTGCTCGCGAAGCTGCAGGCCGTGGTTGAGAGGGGAGGGGTGGGGAGAGGTGGGGAAAGGATGGGGGGGCGTGACGGAGTGGAGTGGGGTCTGCGGTCCACATGCTGGGTTACTTTTGACCCATACCCGAATATTGCCACAACCGCCGCAACCGCCCCTGGTGCCCCTCGGGAGGTTGATCCGGGGAATTGTTTGGCCTTGAAGCACCGGCCAGGATGCTCACCCTGTTGCCAAGGCTCGTGGAAGTAGAGGGTTTTTTCAGGCCTCTGACGAGAGCAGCAGATTTCCACAGAGGGAATTCACATAACCACATTCAAGCACATGTCCCAAACCCTGGTCGTCAACCCTGTAAAGATTCCAGACTGTCTGCCCCTGAGCACCACCATGCCAGCTTTGGGCGTCAGGAGTCCTTGGATGTCCCCGTTCGGGAAATGAGTTTTTTGTGGTGGAGTGATGTTCAAAGGGGACTTTTGCATTGCAGACAGGAAGATGCGCATGTCTTATCCATCATGTCGTGTGCACTTTGACAGGAAACTCTCACCTGGGTATGTCATGTGGGTCTCAGAACAGGGGGACCCCCCCCCACAAAATGGCGGTTGTCCTTTTCGTTCACCTTGAAACCACCCCAAAATGGTGCCCAACCAAAGGTGGTCAACTTGCGCAGGGGACGCCTGTAGCCATACCTGAAACCCCAGGCAGAACCCAAAAAACGGACACACTTGGGAAACGAAGACTTCTGCACGCGGCGAAGGCGGGGGACGTCGTTCCAGAGAGCGGCTGCCTTGTGCGCCTCTCCCCCGCCGGCCAGCACGGGCTGCCGATGAGCCTTGGCCGAGAGATGTCACTGCGGCGTGCTTGCTTGCTTGCTTGCTTGCTTGCTTGCTTGCTTGCTTGCTTGCTTGCTTGCTTGCTTGCTTGCTTGCTTGCTTGCTTGCTTGCTTGCTTGCTTGCTTGCTTGCTTGCTTGCTTGCTTGCTTGCTTGCTTGCTTGCTTGCTTGCTTGCTTGCTTGCTTGCTTGCTCGCTCTTGCTTGCTTGCTTGCTTGCTGGCTTGCTTGCTTGCTTGCTTGTTTGAGTGCGTGCTGGCTTGCTTGATCGCTGCCTCCTTGTTTGACTGCCTCCTTGCTTGAGCGCCTCCTTGCTTGAGTGCCTTCTTACTTGAGCGTTTGTGTTTTAAGTTTGCTGGTTGGTTGGTTGGTTGGTTGGTTGGTTGGTTGGTTGGTTGGTTGGTTGGTTGGTTGGTTGGTTGGTTGGTTGGTTGGTTGGTTGGTTGGTTGGTTGGTTGGTTGGTTGGTTGGTTGGTTTGGTTGGTTGGTTGGTTGGTTGGTTGGTTGGTTGGTTGGTTGGTTGGTTGGTTGGTTGGTTGGTTGGTTGGTTGGTTGGTGGTTTGGTTTGGTGTGTTTGTTGTCCGAAGCAAACAACATGCGACATGTGATGCAGTTCTAGTTGAAAGGAGGGTTTCCGCTCGTCACTGCCTTGTGTTGGGATATGCTTTCGGTCGGAGACCGGCTGGCGTTGGGGACACTCCAGCTTCTTGCTTGTCCAAGCGAATTTGGGCTTCCTCGGCCTCTGGCTAAGGCTTCGCCTCAGCTCCGGGCGTTTTGGGCGGATGCTTTAATTCCCCCTCCCCCCCCCCCAAGTGGCTGAGATACAGCCGACCCACCCAATCGCCTCCAACAAGGCGCTGCGGCTGCCAGCGGAGAAGTACCCCAAGAACAAGTCGACTGCTTTTCGTTTTCCCAGCTCCCAACGAGACCAATGGGACCTCAGTCAATCAGCGCTTGCCATGGACCTCTGTCCCAAGCCTTGGCGCCGAGCGCTCGGATTTTCGAGACCTTTTTCCCCGATGGATTCAAAAGAGCCCCAGGCACCCCGGCATCGGGTTTCCGGGAGCTGTGCCACTTTGGCCAAGTAAGTCACTGACGAATCTTGCAACCAGCCTATAAGTTGTCCAAAGGCCGTTATTCAGTAGGCTATACTCTGGGCCGCAAACCACTTCCTTGCCAGTAAATGCTGGTAAAACATGGGGGTTCCAACTTGTTGCCCTCACACTGGCAATTTGCCAGCTTTGTCGGCCCCGCTCTTGGCCAGATGTCAAAGGCAATAAGTGAGGCGGACAGCTGAGGATGAAGTCACAAGAGGTTGCCGCGAAATCTCTAAAGACAAGGAAGGCGCAAAGGAGGCTGTCAAAAGAGGCTGCCAATAAATCACGGAAATCGATGAAGGCAGTGAAGGACAACCCCCTACCTGCATGATTCCCTCATGATCGATGTATTCCTTCACCGCGAAAGCTGATCCTCGATTCACCAAAACCAACGGGAGATCCCGTTTATCGCCCCACAACCCCGAGCGCTGACGCCGCCCAAAACAGCCACGCCTTGCTAGGATCAGAAGGCTCATTCATCAAGACTTGCTGGCTCGATTCACCCAATTAGAATCATGTTTGCTAAAAAGCAACGACCGGTTTCTATGATACCAAGGGAACCCCCTTTAAAATTGATAAAGTTGTCTTTGGACGGAAGTTATATAGGGATTGGTCCGTTTCCAGTGCTCGCCAGCCACCATGTATTTTATGTTCTCTTGTTTGCTACTTGCAATGCCACCTATCAACTTTCCCTCAGGGCAACCACTCACCTTCCCAACAGAGCTCCTTCCCCAACAGAACCTCCTTGGAACTTGCCATATCCACCCACCCCCACCCACCCCCACCCACCCCCACCCACCCCACCCACCCCCCCCTATCCCCACCCCCATCCACCATCCACCCGGCCTCAGGATCATCTTCTGCGCCGCGGGCACCTCCGCGGCCACCTACGCCGCGGTGGCGGAGCGCACCACGCGCCTGGAGCTCTTCGCGGTGGAGCTGCCCGGGCGCGGCACCCGCGCAGATCAGCCGGCCCTTGAGGAGTTCCAGGCGAACCGGACGCGGGAGCGGAGCGCTTCCATTTGGCTAAGCCTTTGTTTATATTTCCCAGTTGCTTATGTTTTTCATGTTCCCCTGGTGTTAAAGGGAGTCGGTCTCACTACTGGAAATATATGTAAATTGTCCAGGGGACTTAAGCAAATGGATGAGCGGATCGGTGACGCGGGTGGTGCGGTGACGCAGGTGGAGCAGTGGCGCGGTTCGGTGGGTTAGGGTCGAAGGTCGGCCAAGGTGGGGTGGGCGGGATTTTTCGTTGGTGGTTGGAGGGTGGGTCGGTGTTTGGGGGGGTTAAAGGGCAGAAAAGATGTTTTACATCGATTCTTTTTGGGGGGGTCGACTCAGTTGTAGGCGAAGTGACCTGATCTGGCCGGATCTGTTTTTCCCATGTTGGGTTCAACCATATTTAGTGGCAACCCTAAAGGTGATCACCTTTATTGCTGGGTCCCTAAGGGGCTACTGAGGTTCCGGGTAAAGAGAAACCAGATCCAAATTCTCCTTGGAAGGAGGCCTGTGGTTGTGTAACTACCCAGGGCGGCTTGCGCCAAACGGGCATGGGTCCAAATAAGAGGACTCCAACAAAGGCTGGCTTTCCGTTCTCTTTTGCCTGTTGGTTTCTCAGGCCCCATCCATTTGGAGTTTTCTCCACCTAACAAGAGAGCTCTACATGTTCAATCAGGGGCAGGGGTCCCCACCCTGTCACAAATTGATGGTGGAGCCCCTTCATGTTGGCGTGGGATGCTTTCAAGGAAAGGCCCAAAAGCAAGCCGGAGCAACTCGAAGGGTCCTGTAATTTTGAGACTCACCTGCGTCGCAAGTAGCGAACTTGCAGGACACCGTTCTTCTTTTTCTTTTTCTTTTGTTCGATGGCTTGTGGTTGGTTTACTTGCCACCAGCATGACAACCACTGTACTTCAATTGTCTACCTGTGCAGGTTAAATCGCGACTTGAGAAAAGGATTTGGCGTGCGACAAATGACGCAGGGTTCCTTTCGGGTTTTCTTAGTGCAGGTTGGCGATCTCTAGTCGGGACTTTGTTTGCTAAGTTTCTGTGGTTCAAGATTGGATACTCAGACTTGGCTTACTGGAGATGGGCTGCTCAAAGATGAAAATTACATAAGGATAAATGTTGCTTGCCCAAAGAACCATTTGGGTTTCCCGGTTGCTTGTTTGCTTTTGGCTTGTTGGTCCTTCACAACGGCAACCACGCCTTGAGTGGTGCCACTGTTGTCCATTTTTCCCCTGGACATCTCCTGGGTGTCTGGGAGGGGGTTTGACAGGTTCCTCGATTTCCGCAAGGCCAGTCAACTCAACAGGTCACTTTTGGTTTGCGAGTCCAACAACATTGAACTGCCAAATCCAGCACCAATTAAGAGTGGTGGTGTATCAATCGTATTCGGTGTTTCATCCTTTCCAACTGCCTTTGAGGCCACCTCTTGGTGTGTGTGTTTCCTTGAGGCTCAGTGGCCTTTTTCGGGTTGGTTTGAAAGGAAAGCCGAAATCCATGTTAGGGGTGCCCCTACTTTCACACCTACACATTTGAACCATGGTAAGACTGACTTGTATCCCAAAAGGACCTGCGAATATCTCTTGCTCCTCCCCCGGTTTTTGCAACAAAAGCAAGGTATGGGTCCAAATTTAAAACACCAGACCACAGGTTTTAGTCCATGTTTCCATTTTCCAGGGCAACCCATTTTGGGGTTGCCCTATTTTTGCCCACCACACCCGGAACATAGTTGACCTTTTGGACAAACTGGGTTTCGCCAGTGAATTGGCCATAACCCAATTCTCAATGAGTGGAAGCCGTCTATTTCTAAGCAAACCAACCGATCAAATACGGCTCCTCCCTTGTTCAGTTCGCATTTTACCAGGTCCATGTTTCCATTTTACCAGGGCAACCCATTTTGGGATCACCCTATGTTTTGACCACCACGGCTCCTCTGAGGGGGGGGAGGCGAAGCGAAAGCCAGGCGCTCTTCGAGGATTTGAAGCCCGACGTCCTGCGCTGGGCCCGCCGCCAGCGCCGCTTCTTCGCCTGGGGGGACTCCTTGGGGGCGGTGCTCGCCTACGAGTTCGCCAGGCTCTGGCAGCAGGACGCTCCGAAAAGTCCGCATTGTACGCGTGCGACGGCAGGGGGGGGGGGGGGGAAAGGGGAAGGGTTGGAGTGTCCTTGGTTTTTGGTTTTCCATTATTTTTTGAGTTGGCCCCTCCCGTTGTATGTGTTTTTTCCAGGGAAGAAAGGAACACCCTACATTTTTGGGGGTGTGAGGGTGATGTTTGTTTGGGGACACGCTGGTGGACATCAAGATTGGGGATTCATTTCCAACCACTGGATGCGTCGTTTTATAGCTGGCACTACGGAGACCAAAGGAAAGCCACCGTTTTGTTGCGGTCATGCTTTGTTCGGTAGTCTTGTGTCAAAATACCGGTAGATTAAAACGCCTGTGAACCAGTGTGGGGTCCCCGTGGTTGTTTCTTGTTTTTCTCTAACATTTTCACGAGTATGAGTATGTGTCAAAATTGCTGGTGGTCTATGGTCAAATTTGGAAGGGACATGGGGGGACGAGCTCTAATGTCCCACAAAAACCAAGGGACTCGCTAATGTCCGAATTCCTTTTTTGGCTGTGTGGAGGAAGGGACATGTGGGTGAGCAGACATAATGAAAGGGAAGAGGATGAGGATGAACTCTTGAAATGTTTTGTTTAGATTAGAATGTTTTTGTTCGTTGGCTTTCAAGGGTTCACATCTTCCCGCTTTCCTTCTCACATTCTCACCTTGTGTTTTCATCCAAATTTATTTTCAAGGAAATGCCAAGGCATGAAGGATTGATTTGCCAGGAGATGTTTTTCCCTTGAATGCTCCAGGTCCCATTCATTTGAATCGTAAATAAGATATAAAAGTAGCTGGGATAGAGAGAGGTCCATTTGCTTAAGAGTCGTATTGTTTTCCCCCTTTATTGGTTCTAAAAACAACCTATCACTACAGTGTTGTTTTTGTTTTTTCTCCAGGGGACTCAAGCAAATAGAATGAGAGGAGATAGGTGTTGAGGTGCTTCTTGGTCAAGTATTTTCTTCCATACCGCAAACTGGAACCCTGGTAAAAACATGGACTAAAACCTGCGGTACCATGTCCTCGAGGCTAATTTTGACCCATACGCCAATTCTGTCTATCTCGCACCCGGCTACCCCTAGTTTACACGTAAACCCCACCTACAAGGGTACCAACTCCAACAAGACGCACCAAAATTCCCCCAAGATACCAACTACTCCTATCTCACACCAACAACTCCCATTTTGACACACCAAGAACTTCTTAAACTGTTCCTTGGGTCAAACCAATAGCTCCAAACTGACCAACTGACAAAAGGACTTCCTTGCGTCGAACCAATAGCAGGCACCTCCACCAAATACACCAACTGACCAACTCCCAAACCGACTCGTCCAAAGCCAAACCGCAAACCAATAGCTCCAAATACACCAACTGACCAACTCCCAAACCAACTTGTCCAAAGCCAAACCGCAAACCAATAGCTCCAAATACACCAACTGACCAACTCCCAAACCGACTTGTCCAAAGCCAAACCGCAAACCAATAGCTCCAAATACACCGACTCCATTGACAAACCGACTTGTCCAAAGCCAAACCGCAAACCAATAGCTCCAAATCTTAGCGTCTTCGGCACTTACGTTTCAAAACTTGCAAGGGACGTTTTGGCCCAGCACGTGTTAAACCCGTTCGTTTTGACCATCACACGTGGCGAGATTTAGTAGTTTGTGGGGGTAGTGAGAGTAAGGTTGGCAACATATGAGTGAAGAACACGTTGAGCTCACATCTTTGAAAGCTGCGCCCCAGCTTTCAAACTAGCTTGGCGGGGTTCATTGTTTGAGGCTTAGGTAACATCTTTATCAAGGGATTGCGACGCAGTTCTGAAGGGCCCGAGCGGCGCGCATGGGTATCGCGCTTAGCCGCTGGGGGTCATGACACGACTGGCCTTGCTGGTGCCACCTTGGGCAAATGGCCGAAAAGGGGCATCGAGACGCCAGTGAGAGCCTTTCTTGAAGGAGCTTGGTTTGGGTTGGTCGTTTTTCCTTGAAGTGGGGATCTTGGCTTCTGGGCTCCAAGTGCGTTTTGGGGCCTCCAAAAAACGCATTCGGGGACAGACGCGTGGCAGGTTCTAGTTTCTGGGTTGAGTGCGTTTTGCCCCCACCCCCCCGAAGAAAACATTTGCGGCAGGTTTTGGTTTTGGGCTGAGTGCGTATTTCGGCCCCCCGAAGACGCATTTCCTCTCAGTGCGTTTTGGGGACAACTGCTTTTGGTACCTGGAAAGCAACGCATTTGGGGACAAACCTCACCTGTATTTCCTTGAAGTGGGGATCGTGGTTTCTGGGCTAAGTGCGCTTTGGGCCCTCCAAGAAACCATTCGGGGACAAACGCATGGCAGGTTCTGGTTTCTGGGTTGAGTGCGTTTTGCCTCCACCGCCCCCCAAAAAAACACATTTGCGGCAGGTTTTGGCTTTTGGGCTGAGTGCGTATTGTGGCCTTAGGACGGTGTGTGCCACTGCAGACAGGGCAGAAGACTCAGTGGTATTGCCTGCACTGCCCGTGGACCTCTTCTGCCAAAGGCGTGAAGCGGCTCTTGGAGCACGCGATCTTTTTGAGGCAGATCAGGATGATGATGGTGAGAATGATACACCCGCCGCCGCCGGTGAATCCGCACAGGTTGAGGGTAAACATCATCATGGAGCATTCGACTCGGGTCCGGTGCATCCGCCTCCCGTAGCTGAGGAAGTACCAGAGGATGTCGGGCTAGAGCCACGTCGCCATGGTGATTCCGAAGCTAACGAGGAAGGAGCTGATGAGGATGATCCAGATGCTGGAGTGGAAGTTGACGTGTACGAAGGATCATCGATCAAGAGGAAAGTGGGAGTCCTCAAGAGGGACGCCAACTCCGCTCACTTGCTTACCCACAGATACAGAAATCCTTTCTGTGAGTCGTGTGTCAAGGCGAAGATGAGACACTTCAGATCACGAACGGGAGCCTTCAAGAGGGAGGTCAAGACGTTCGGGGACCTGGTAACGTTCGATTTTGTGACGGCATCAGGAGATCATGAAGTGGAAGGCAGGTATTCGCTCATCATTCGGGATATATACACCGGGCTTATTATGGCTTATCCAACTGCGAGAAGAGACACTGACTCCGTTGTCAGAGCTATCAAGCACTTCTGCGGCAGGAGGAAGATCAAGCAGGTGTACTTGGATGATGGTCCAGAGCTGATCAACGCCTGCGTTGAGTTGAAGCTGAACCATGACTTGTCCTTGCCTGGACGACCGCAGAACAATTCCCTTGCTGAGAGAACGAATCAATTCATCATTGACCAGACTTCGGCTTGTCTTGTACATGCCGGTCTACCCACGTGCTACTGGGCGCAGGCCATCACCACGCTGCGCCATCTGGTGAACGTTGAAGAGGTGAATGGATCAAGCGCTTGGTTGAGACTGCATGGTGAGGAGTTCAAAGGCGAGAAGATACCTTTTGGCGCGCTAGTGGACTTCAAGCCGAGCGAGGCACGAGGGGAGAAGAGGGAGAAATTCGAGCCTAGGGGGCAAACTGGTATATTTGCCGGATATGTGTTGAGTACCGGGATGCATTGGGCGAACAAGTATCGGGCTTGGGCCCTCACTGCGTTTGCTGGTGCAGAGCTGAACATCAAGAAGGCAAAGGTTCCACCTCGGTTGAGAATGCCACATCAGACGGAGAGGATGATCCTCAAATCACCTCTGACATTCCCAATACAACAGAAGTACAAAGCTGCCAATGAGACTTTGGAGGGAATTGAGATGTCTGTCGATTGAAGATGAGGTTATTGCAGAGTGACGAAAAGCGACTGCTTGACGATGAGGTCGGTCAGATCGCTGGTCTACTGCTTGATGAAGGTCCGGAGATACTTGTCGGAGATCGGGGGGGTCATGTAGAAGAAGAGGATGCTAGACCGAGCTCTTCAAAAGGGAAAGGCGATGGACATGCCAAGGGCGATGAGGAGATTGCGAAGCCCGACCTTCCACATGTGTCAGCTGGACTACCTGGGGATGGCGTAACATACATCAACGATGATGGCAGGGAGGTTAAGATCGACAAGGCCGGAAGACCATATCCCGTTGGGAAGGATGGCTTCAGGTTGATGAAGACGACGAGACCTCCGGAATATACTCCCGCTGAATGGGCAATGATGAGAAAGTACTACACCGAGGAGGAGAAAGCCGAGGTGAAGGGTGGTGGCAAGAAGAAGAAAGAAGAACCCAAGAGCAAAGGATCTGAAGCTTCTGCGCCAGCTGAAACGCAGACGTTGCAGATGCCCGGTGGTAAGAGAATTCGAGCAATGCGTCGAAACCGCTGGGGTGGAGTTGAATGGCAGTACAATTGGGGATTGGACTTCAAATTGGACGAAGGCAGTTGCATCAGTCATCGAACGTCAGAAAGACGAAGCTGAACTAATATCGGGGACGGGTCTTGCGGATGATACGCCGACGGATTTTACCTGGTATGAATGGGAGGAGTCTGCTGAGGTGGTTTCGGGAAAAGTGCCGCTCGCGTTACCTGCAGTAAGAGAAGATGGCGAAGCTAAGAAATACCCATCGATGCCGTGTGTGACCTCTGAGCTAATACAGCACAGACAGAAGGCCGAGAAAGTTGTTCGATTCTTCGACGCATTGGTGTCCAGGCCGGTTGGCCGAAAAGAAATGTTGACCAACCCTGATGCCCTGGCATCAATGAAGAAAGAATGGTCGGGATTAATCGACCAGGGCGTCTTCGACCTTGGTGCAGTGCGGGAATACGACTCTGTTGCCAAGGAGGCAAAAGCGAAAGGGGAAGAGACAAACATGGCTCGCGCACATGGCACTTGCGTTGAAAAGCACTCACAGTTGCCTGTTGGCGATCCCAAGAGGAAGTTCAAGGGTAGGGGCGTGTTGCTGGGGAACCAAGTGAAGAATCAAAGCTTTGAAGCTGCGATGTTTCAAGCCTTGGGGAACTCTCCTGCTTCGTTCGAGGCCTCGCGTTGGGCGGATTTGTTGGGTTGTCATGATGGTTGGGATG